TTAAGGGTCTTGCTCAGAGATCCAGAGTGGTAGTCTGTGGGGATCGAACCAGGTACTTACAACCTTCTCACCTTACACTACAGAGTTTTGACATTTATCACTGGCTTGGCTCATACACAAAATGGGAGAGGTCTAAATTCCAGTGAACAATAAGGACCCTATAGCGAATCGTTGAAGTTGACCTTTCCTCCAACCAGGAGTTGTAAAGGTCAGTCTAAGGAAAAGGTTGGCAAATATCTCTGCAGACCCCACACATCCTGCACATAAAATTATAGACTTACATTTAGCATTATCATACCTTTTGAAAGAGACATGGCCGCAGAGGAAGTTTTTCTTCTGTCAAGCTGTTGACACCATCAAGCTTCTCAGAACCGAAGAGAAATTCCTTCTCTTTTTGAACAAATTTGGCATCTGAAGCTGATTCTTACCAGACCTTTCCATAAACATGTTTAGACCTTTAGATCCATGTTGCAAAGCATTTAATACTTTTAAGACTAGCCTTAAAACTTGCCTTTTTTAATAAAGCTTATAGTTAGAGTTTCTCAGGTTATCCTGATTTATCTCTATAGTTATGCTGTTATAGGCTTAGCCTGCTGCAGGACAAAGGAACCACTTTTCATTGTTCTGCTTCAATCTATTTCTAATTTCCAATTCTGCAGTATTTGTTAGTTTAACTTCTAACTTTATGTCCTCTCTGCTTTTTCTCATCATAGTATCTTCATCTGGTCTGGTTCGGTTAAGCTGTGGCACCACCCTCGACGGAGACATAAGCTGAGCTGCTGCTATAAACAACTTCAATTATAGATAAGGGTGTTGGGCATGTTTTTTGAGAGATTAGTCTTGTTTATCTTCCAGACATAATTATGGTTTCAATTATTGATGCAACTAAATGTATGTGCTCTCTTTCTGTTCTCTTTCTTCCTTTGACATGTAAACCAGCTCATAGCTCATCGGCTTAACTGTTTCTTTCCTTGAAAGAGCCACCAATGGAGCTAGTTTACCATTTCCTTCTCATAGAACGTATTTAGGGATCAGTGCTTTTATGTCTGCTTAAGTCTCCTTGAACCCCAGTCGGCCTCAGCAGGCCAACTCTGAACTTTGAATCAATTTGACTGTATGATCTGGTGAACTGTAAAGTGCCCTGAGATGACATGTGTTGTGAATTGGCACTATAGATAGATAGATAAACTTTATTCTGGACAAATGGTCCAATAAATACATACATAAAAATAAAATAAAAATAGTTAATGATAAAAACACAATACAAGTACCATTATCAATTAAATAGGATCTTTAAGAAGACAGGAATACCAGTGTCTCCACACCTTAGACTGATATCGGATTGCACTACGTGTGGTATCAGTGAGTGACAAAATAATATCGTTTTCAGATGCATTTAACCTACAAATAAACTTATACATTAACTTTCGTAGAACAGCTTGTAGGGTATTAACTATTGCTGTGACAAACATCTCACTTGCACTGGACCATCTTGGACGTTTCAAAAGTAACCGCATCTGCAGCCTTTGCAGGTTGACTTTTCTATAGGTAGTCCACAGGTGAGCAGTGTACAGAGAGGTACAATATGCATTAAACAGTTCCACTTTGACTTTATCAGTACATGAACCGAATTTACGTGCAAGGGTATTAGCTTGAGCATACAACAATCTACATTGTCTGCAAATGTCATTATCGTCTGACAGATTTTCTGTGATGATGTGCCCAAGATACTTGGTTTTATTTGTTACACCCAGCACAGTATTTGACAGCAAAAAATCTGGAAACTCAGTAGATTTATCTTCCTTACTCCTACAGATCATGATCACACTTTTAGATGGATTGTACCTTATGTCGTGTTCCAGACCATACTCAGAGCAGATGTTAAGTAGTTGCTGTAACCCAGCAGTACTAGGGCTAAATATTACTAAATCATCCGCATACATCAGGTGATTAAGTACCGAGTCACCAGCCACACAACCAGTGTGACAAGCTCTCAACTTGTGTGACAGTTCATCCAGATACAAGTTAAAGAGAACTGGGGACAAAATCCCGCCCTGCCTCACCCCATTACTAACTTTGAATGGAGCAGAGACACATTCCCCCCATTTAATCTGCAGTGTTTGCTGAGTATACCAGTACTTCAAAATACGAACAATATACTCTGGTACTCCTTTTTGTGTCAGTTTTGTGAACAGTTTTCTGTGGTTTACCCTATCAAATGCTTTTGATGCATCCAGGAAACACATAAACACTGAAGAGTTCTGCTTATTATATTTATAAGTAATCTCTTTTAGAGCATATTTACACATATCTGTGCCCAGCCTAGCCTTAAAACCAAACTGGTTATCGGTAGACTTGATAACCTCTAAAATCCTGTCCAGCAGGATTGATTCAATAATTTTTGAAACTATGCTGGCCAGCGCTATCGGACGGTAATTATCAGAATTGAAAATGTTTCCAGTTTTATCTTTAATGACGGGTACTAACAGGACACTTAAAATAGAGTCAGGTAAAAGACCATGAATAAAAAACGATGTGAAACAAATGGAAAGTAGAGGAGCTAGCCTTGCATTTGCATACTTTAAATGTTCAGCTGAGACTCCATCCAGCCCAGTGGCTTTATTGTTAGATAATTTGGAAATAGCTTTATGAACCTCATAAGGCAGGATTTCATCTATATGGTCAACATTATTTGCAGTGCATGGTTCACTATGGATGCAAATAAAGAAAATAATAGAAATAAACTGAATTGAACTCAGCAAATGACTGGATATAATCGGCTGGGTTTCCTTAGAAAGCTTTTAATCGATCTGACGGTAGGACTTAATTGAATTGTGATTATGTTTGTTTTGAATTGGCTTTATATAAATGATCTGAATCAATCCTTTCCTTGTAGTTCTGGCTGTTAATGATTGTTGTCCAGCTGGAAGGTAAACCTCTGGCCTGGTACCAGACCTCTGCAGCCTCTAACAGGTGTTCTTTAATTCATGTATTTATTTAATTTCTACTAATCCTCCCTGTCCCCAGACCATGATGCTCCCACCACTTTGTTTCACACTGGGAACAGTGTGTTTAGAGTGACTTGCATTTTTAGATTTCTCTAAAAGAAATGATTTCTTGCATTTGTCAAAACATTAGCTTCCTTCTCGCCACTGAATCACAGAACCCATATATTAAACACTTTTGTTTCATCCTAGCTTCAGATCTAACACTTGAATCCGGCTTGATGGATAGGGGCCAAGTACACATATTCTATTTCAGGTCTAAGATTATGGAAAATGGCAAGACAATCACTACCGGAGATTTAACTCTGTCTAACAGTAGATTTTTTGCTCCTTTGAGCAGTTGCCATGGCAGATTATCTGCGTCTCAATCTGTCCCCTGTATCCTCCTCTGTCACACCAACTCTTCTTCACTAGCAGCATCAAACCACTCACACTTATTTCTCCTTTCTTCCTTCCTGGCAGCTCCATATTCAACATCCTTTATCCAGCATATCCAGTATCTCTGCTCTGCACATGTCCAAGCCATCTTTGCTTTTCGAACTTGGTCCAAAAACCTGTTCAACCCTAACCGTCACTGTGATGTACTCATATCAATCCCTCTGCATTTTAATCTCACTGAATGAAAAATATTATTTTCAACAATGGTGCCCCTTCCTTTGTCAGTCTCCAAACTATAAATCTTAGCAGGTCTTGCCACCAACTTGATAACCTTCTTTTCACTCTTTCAGCATTGGCTTCCTTATATCGATTTACACCTCCTGCTGTTTTAGGAGGAGGACCCATAGAGTTTAAAGCAATCCACCTTCAGTACATCAGCTTTTTGCAGCATTGCTATTTCATCTGTCTATCTCTTGTTAAATAGAAATTAATCTTAACCTTTGCTGTCAGGTGGCTGATTGTTCCTCTCAGTTCCGACTGCTGTTACCGCTCACTGGGTCATCTACTCACACATGAAGAGATGATTTTTTTCCCCCCACTAATTGGATTACAGTAATTAAGATCTTATCCCAAAGTTATCTATTATTAGACATAAAATATTATGAGGAATTCCCTTTCACAAAAAAAAAAACACTCAACCCCGAAGTATGTCTGTCTTTTTATTAGTGTATTTATATACACATATAAAAAATAAGGACATATGTACAATGATAATAAATATCGACAAGTTTTTTTTACAAGTGAAATAAGTTACTTAAGATTTTTTTTTCAAAAATAAACAGAACAATAACAGGCAAAAAAAAAATGGGGTAAAAATAATCCAAATATTAATGCAAGAACACAGCAGAACCTAAAACCTCATAGGAAGAAATATTCAAATGCTTGAGAGCTGGGGAACGGCACATTTAGAACATCACACATGCATGTTTTTCAAGCTTTAGACCTGTTTTCCTTTGTCTTTTGAAACGCGTGTCTTTACATAATGAAAATAACAAGCCTGATTTTAAAAAAGGAGAAATATTAAGACATAACCAAGTACCAGTGTAAAGAGCTCATTTTTAAGCTTTCTGCCTCAAGAAATTAAAAACAAAGTGAGCAGTTTGTCACTGATTTGATTCAAGTCAGTAGCTTTATATTTGGTTTTAAAAGGCTGAAAACACATTTCAATTTCAGCCTTTCTTAATGTAGGGGGAATTAGAAAAATATATTGGCCCAAAATATCAGTACTGACATGTAAACAAACAGCAGCCTCCTCGGTTTCCAACACATTTTGCCTTTTGCTTGAGGGGAAGTTTAGCCGTAGATAAAATACGAAAGAAGGCTGCTGACATCAGCTCAGAGTAGCAAAGTGGACGGATTGCTGAGACTTAAATATTGATCTGGAATCAAATAAAATTTATTCGGGAATTTTTAACAGGAACAAAAGCAACTGCAGTCTACTTTGGCTTTATTCAGAAAGGTGAAGAGGCACAGAGAAAGTAAACATGTTGAAATACAGCCATGAATTTACTGTACAACTCTTGAGGCATAAAAATCAGCTTTCTCGTCTGTCTTTTCAAGAGATCTTTAGTGTTGAATAACGTTAGAGCCTGGAAAAAGTCCAAAAAAGGATCCAAATGTTCACTTTTGTACAGGGATGATCATATCAAAGATGTTCAGTCCACTTGCTGAGAAGATCATGCAACAGTAGTATGGAGTGCTGATGGCTGACCTCCTCTAAGTTCTAGATTTTTTAAAACTTTCTTCCTCTTTTTTCTCCCCTCATCGCTCTGTACACAGTTGGAACAACACAAGTTACGTCACGCTTTTTCTCTGCGTTCCTCCGGCCTCCACAGGCATATCCACAAAATACACGAAGATAAAAAACACTGAAAGGAAACAGATAGATGAAGTTAATAACAGAAAAATATATATTTCTATTCTTAAATGTACAGATAAAAACAAGTTTATAATAATAGGTCCTTTAAACAATATTCACACCATTGGAACTTTCTCACTTTAACTCCTCACAGATCAGTTCTGTCTACATTAATACAACAAAGGCAGTTGGCTGCCTGCATGTTACTGAGGAGAATTAGCATATTATAAAGGGAGCTTAATACAAACTTACAAAATACTTATGATTTTTATTGTAAAAACATTTTAAGAAGGCATGTATAATCTTCCACTTCACAATAAATCCTATAAGTATGTGGAGGCATTTGTCATTAATGCTGCAGTAAAGAAAATGCAAAAAAAAAAAAAATAATGATTGCAATTCAAATTTGAAACTTTTAATTTTCTTAATTAATTTAATTGCTGTTTTCTTTTTCATAGTAATTTTTTCTTTTTTTACTAGATTTTCTTTTTTTTCTATTTTCTTTTAAAATTTTTGTTTTTTCAAATTGCGTCACATTTTCGTCACTTCAAGCCCAAAACAGACAAATACAATGTTGTTGCTGACATCCATTAGATACAAATTCTTCTTCAATCCTTAGGAATATATCTGAATATATATTTAGATATATATTCTATTTATAAATATATATTTAAATATAAATATTTAGATACATCTAAGAAAAGGAAAGAAAAAAAATAAAATCTGTTAAAAATGATAAAAGATTAAAAAACTAAATCTGAAAAAAGTGAAAAGTTTAATTTCTGGAATGCATTTTTCTTTTATTTCTCTTTTCAAAATCATAAAGTTATTTTTTTTGTTTGCAACAACAAAGCAACAAATTCTCTCCATACAAATAAAGCGCATTTGACTTTTTCTTTTTAAAGGGTCAAAAATTAAAGAAAGGTTTCTATAGTAAGTCATTTGCAGAAATAAACCTTTCCATGTTCTCCGGGCTGACAAAAGAAAACAGTTAATATAAAGACTGGATTCTGCCAAAGGATGCAATGGGTCAGTATGTTTTGATGCCTAATCAGAACGAAACATTTACTCTTCAAAGACATTCTCAATTAGTTCACAACAAGCTCTATGGAGGCCCCTTCTTCTGTTATATTGCCAAATGCACCTGATCCTCAAGGCCTTCATCTAAGAATGAACATGGAAATATTCAGTCAGAAAAGGATTTGCAAAAACAAAGCAAGAACATTGGTAGAGCTTTGGCAACTAAATAGGATTTGTTGACTGTTATGGTGCTAACAACTTATACTAAAAATAAGAAACAAACGAGGCAATTATTTTCATTTTAAAACTTTAAACAAAAAAAATAAATAAAACAAAAATTAATAGCTTGCCCTTCTACATGATTCTACATGATATTTGGTCCAATGTAAGTACTGTATCACTAAAGTCAGTGCTCTTCTTTTATTAAATGTTGCCACTCCTGTTAAAAACAATCAACCACATCAGGTTGCAGTAACTTAAGGTTAATCAAAGTCTTTTGACAGGATTTCGGGTGTATAGGCAAAGGTTTACTTTCTGTAAATGGTGATGACATCATAGATATATGGACAGCGGAGTCCTTCAGGAAAAAAAGGCGACTGTTTCTGAAGCCCACAGCATGAGCAGTGCACATTTACCCATATTAATAAAACTGGAGGACAGGGTTTTCAGAATGGGATCCTGAAGGGCTTTCTTTATTCATGGACTGTTTTTTGTTAACTTTACTTTTTTTTTTTTTCAAACCAAAAATAATTCTAAGAATCCATCTGCTTCAGAACTAATCAAAAAATAAACAAATTCTCCTTTCCAATACTGAAGTAACCCTATAGCACATTTATTATTTGATGTAACAGTGTTTGTCACGATGCAATAGCGGCAGAGGACTCTTCCACTGGTTCATCAATTCCATTTCTTATTCAAACAAATCCATTTCTGCAGTGCCTTGCCTTAAGGGGCAAAAGAAACAGATGCCACCCTTTCATGTCTGTTTAATTCACATGAGGCCAGTTTCTTGAAATAACAAAACTAACTTTTAAAATGATTTTACTGCTTCGGCCAAAATAAAATAAAATATAAAAGTTTACTTAATTCTTTTAGTAATACATATAAATAAAATCATAATTTCGACTCGTTGGGGATCATCTGGCCTCTTTTACACCTGAAGCTTATGAAAGTATTTACACCACCGAATATTTTTACTTAAAGAAACTAACATATTTAGATTTTTATTGAGACTTTATGTTGAAACCTCACAAAGATGTAGATCAATGTGAAACATAAGAATAATAAAACATGTTTTTGATTTATTATAAACAAAAACCTTTGCATTCATTTTCTGCTTTCTTTTCACCGATGCCACTAAATAAAATCCAGAGTTTAATTTTGTCTTCAGCTGCCACCTAGTCAGCAAATAGACTCCAACTGAGTGTGTTTCAGTAGCAGGATAAATCCTTCTGTTCTTTGAAGACCTCAGAGGCTTATTAGAAAACATTAGTGAACAAACAGCAGCATAGAGACCGAGATACACAGCAGGCGGGTCAGAGCAGACGTTGTAGAGAAGGTTAGAGCAGGATTAGCTAATAAACCTCCCCCCAAAAAAGTACCGATTGATTCACCTGCAGAAGATTGAAAAGGGAACGATACAACTACAAGACATCTAATCTAACATTAGATTAATCACAACCAAGATACTCATGGTAGCTCTGGAAGACCTGCAGATAACCACAAAATTGGTGAAAATCATTTTAACTATTAGGGATATTCTAATACATTTTTGTTAAATATTGGAAACAATACCGGTACTGCAGCTTTGATTATACCACTATACCAATACTGACCCAATAGGGTATCAGCTTTAATTATATATATTTTATTACTAATTTTAAGGATTATAAAAAGCGTAATCAAGTTATCTTAATCAGAGAACAATAGTCAACAGAAATTGGTATGAGGACTTTAAAGTTATATGTTATTAGCCAATGGCGGGTTTAGATGCAGGCCAATACATTGTGATACTAGTTTTTGGCTGATGTCAGATGGATTTTGAATATCAATATTGGAGTGAAACTAAATATCATGTACTGTATAGAAGTCTGGAAGGAAATCCAATTGAGAAAAAGTGGCAAAATATGTGTTCACAGATTCTATATCCTGCCTGAGTTTCATTTTTGCCAAAGTACTGGGTCATCAAATGTATAATGCTTGGAGGTATAACCCTAAAGAAAGGCAGTGGTGACTGCAGTATAAGGTTTTTCTAGAGAGCATTAAACAATCAGGTTAAACAGAAATACATAATTCAATTTGAGGAAAATTATAATTGTTCAAAGGCATATTGTGTATACTAGAAATCACTATTGTAATCAAAAAAGGAAAACATACCTTTCACTGCTTCATGGCATCTTTTCGCCTGGGCCAGGAGTTGAACAGCATGGCAGCAATCAGTCTGTCGGTCGGTCCTTTTCTTCCAGAAACACTGCGTGGGTTCTTGTTGTGTTTCAGTGTTCCTCCATTGTTTCGGTCCACAGTAGCCCCGGATTAGTCTCTAGGCTTCGGTGAAGGGGTTGGTTGGGGTTCCATGGGTTCTAAGGGTGCTTCACATTCGCTCTGTTGCCCTGGATGGCTGCGATCCACAATGATCTGAATGCCTGTTAATGTTGAGTGTGTACGTGCTGGAGTGGTAGTTTCCTTCTTGGCAGTGCAAGTTACCACCCTCAATAAACACATGGAAAAAAATAAATTAAAGCACTTTCTAAGACATCCATAGCCGTCACAACAATAAGGGTTCTACTACATTCTCTGCGCCGAATGTCTTCATGTCAGCTTCAGTTTGCAAGTAACTCTGCGGCTAATGTTCTGCTGCTAAGAACTGCACAAACAAAGCCTCTTTGCTTTTTCCTTTCAAAAGACAGGAACAAGAGTTCAAAAGGTCCAAATCTAAACACCCCTCTGTTACACACTGTGACTCCAAGAACTGCGTTGGTGGAAAAAGGGTCTAAATGTCACATAAAGAGCTCCTGGAGCTGAATGAATCATTGAAGGTCACTATGCCGGAGTGAGGGAGGAGTAATGTTATGCCAAGAAGGTCGCCCTCACTGTCTTTCATAGAGGTGAACCTTTAGTCTCTAACAAACTGGTTGAACAGCTCTGTGGTCCATATATCAGAATCAACAAAGAATATCTGACAAGAAATGTCTTAATTCAATCCAAGCATCACATTCAGTTAAAGTGGAAGAAATCGAAGGAGTCCTCCAGCAGTAAAAGTGACATGATGGGGAAAAAATTTCAATTGAGCGGAAATGTCTTGAGAGATTGTCCTTCATTTAGAAACTCCCTCCTTGTGTCTTTCCCTCCAGTTCGCTTCATTTTCCGTCTAATTTACTCTCTTTTTGTCTCCTCTCTGCCCCACACAGAGCTCCTGCCACAGGGACATGATTGTCGTCTTGCTTGGAGATTAATTAGTCCTTTTTTTTTATCGCTCTCTCACTCCAGGCTCACAAGTACAAAAAAGAGGGAAGACAGGCTTCCAGTATTTTTTAAGTGCAGTAAGCAGAAAAAAGTCTTAAGGATCACAAGCACAAAAAAAAGCAACATATTTCCAGTTTGTCGCCTTTGCTGTTAAATGGTCCCAGTAGGGGTACTAAAAACAGCTGTGCACATCAGAGAGAAAAAAAATAACACCATTTGTCAGGGTTCCATGCTTGAGGGGTTCTCCTCTGCGTTCATCTTAAAAAAACAGAAATACAGTATGTACACGAGTGGCAGTTGCACAGTTGAAGCAGAGACAGTCACAACCAAGACTCTATGTTGCCTGAAACACAGCAACTGTTGGCAAACACGGTATATGAGTGTATGTGCTGAACATGCTGTGTGCAAGAAGAAGTCTACAGAGAGCCAAACAGGCATTGGCAGAGTGAGACAGAGAGCATGGGAGTGGACAGCATGTCACTAAAAGACAGAGAGAGCAGGCATCCTCTGGAGGAGGGAGGTAGTTTGGTTGGATTCTTGTTCCACCTCAGGGAATAAATAAAGATGGAGGAGGGAAGGCCTAGACAGAGGACTCCTCTGGATTGGCATCGGGCAGGACGCTTCTCTGTTGCAGAGTGCGCCTCAGCTCCTCCTTGAAGGGACTGGAGTAGTCGTTCCCGCCCACACCCAACCCTCCAAGCGCGCCGCCCCCAACACCGGCCCCGCTAGCCCTCTCCTCCCCTGCTGTGCTCAGGTTGAGGCGGATATAGCCGTTGCTACCAGAGCCTCGGATGTTGGTGAGGCTGAGCCGGCTAGGGGAGTGGATGGGCTGGCCGGGAATGGCACTGGGTGACGCCGTGCTGCTGACACTACTGGGGCCAAGGGCGTGGCCGGGAACGATCTTCAGCGACCCATCTGAGTAGTAGTAGTTGGCGCCCGTCTCCCAGAACCGGTCCTCGTCGCTTGGCATCTTGCTGGGCACGAAGGTGGGCGGCTCCTTGGGCAGGGTGATGGGGTAGACCAAGGTGCTCTCCAGAGGCTTCATGTCGGCTCCCTTCCCTAACGCCAGCTTCAGCCTCCTTCGCAAGTAGAGAGCTGCTACGAGAAGGAGGAGGCACACTGCCCCCAGTGTGATGACCAGCACCCAGAAGAGCCCCATGCTGCTGTCCGGGGCACGGGCTTCCATGAACACCGGGGCATTGGCAACGACAGTCACCTGGTAGCGCTCAGTCTGAAACTTTACTCCCAGTTCCTCAGAGTAACAGATATAGCGGCCCGCTTGCATCTGGCCCACTTCGGGTATGATGAGGGCTTTGAGGGTTCTGTCAAAGCGAGGTCCTCCTGCTTCTGGATCACCTAGCTGGAGCTCGCGGTCATTGACCATCCATAATGGCTGGGCCAGGTTGGAGACGAGCTGGCAAGGCAGCACCATATCAGAACCAACAACCACTATTACATTTCTCAATCGGGACGGATCTGCAGTAGAACAAATGGGTTGGAGGGAGCAGAGAAGACAGATGTCTAAGTTATAGATAATCAATAATACTACACATAAAATATTTTGTGCTTTGACACATTTCTTCCTTTTCATTTCAATTTATTCACTTTAAAAAATAATCGCAAAAACAATCGCAAGCACATTTAGCTAACTTGCTCATGCATTAATGGCTAATTCTCACAAGGGGGCACTAATAAACTGTAGCTCATACTCACCAGCACTCGGGATGGAGACTGGAAACTTGGCTTTTCCACGGTTGAACCTCTCTAGCATGAGGTCCTGTGAGAGAGAGGAAGTCGACCTGAAAACAAAACAAAAATGAAATACAATAGGATTTTTTTTTTATGAAATATTGGATGCAATGAAATCTTACTTTAAACTTTATGACATTTGTTACAACTGAATGTTATAGATGAACACAAAGCAATGATCAACATCTCACTAATGTGAGTACATTCCTCATATTTCTTCAAACATTTTACTGCACCATTTCATGAGGCAACACTGAAGATTTAAGACTTTGATAGAAAAGAAAAGCTGCCAGTGTACAGCTTGTATTACCTTGTGCATTTTTGTCGTCTCAAAATTACTCAACACCGAGACATTAATGTTGGAGGCTCCTGGCTACAAAAGTTTGTTGTTCCCTTGTGGCCAACATTATTTTCAAGCACTGCTGTAACTCTCTGCCATAGAGGTTTCTGGATGTTCACAGGTTGCCTCTGTCTTGAATCCTCTTCAGCTCCGACATTAAGAAATCACAAAGCAGCTGGTGGATTTTAGAGACCTTGAACTTCTCCGCCTTCTGCTCCATCCTAACCTCAACTTTTATAGCAAGGTGATAAACTTGGAGGTGTGTTATTATGTTAAACTACATCCTTATGATCCAGTTTTCCAAAAACAGGCCATGCTTCGGTGTGTGACAATAGCGTTCATGAATTCTAGAGGACTCAAAGCATGAAACTCCCACCATGCTTGACTGTAGGCAAGAAAACACACTTAAAATCTTTGTACTCTGATGGCTGGGTAGCCCCTATACACGTTCTTTGCACTATGTGAACCAAAAGTTTTATTTTAGTCTAATCAGACCACTGGATATTTACACTGCTTCTCTAGAACAGTGTTTTTCAACCCTGGTTCTCCAGGCACACTGCTCTGCATGTTTTGGATGTTTCTGAGGTTCAGCACACCTGATTCAGATGATTGCAGTTCAGCAAAGCCTGATAATGTGCTATCAATTGATAACAGGTGTGTGAAAGCTGTGAAACATCTAAAACATGCAGGGCAGTGTGCCTTGAGGACCAGGGTTGAAAAACACTGCTCTAGAACACACTTCCTTCTGGCATAACAGCCATGCAGAACAATTGGATTCAGTTTATGAGGTACAGTTAATAATAATAATTCATAATTGAACTTTATTGATCTCCCATTGGAGAAATTTACCTTTGAATTTAACCCATCCCCTGGGGGAGCAGCGGGCTGCCATCGTGGGGCAACCGGGGAGCAGTGTGGGGTTAAGGGTCTTGCTCAGAGACCCATAGTGGCAGTCTGTGGGAGTGGGGCTCGAACTCAGAACCTTAAGCTCTATCCCCTAACCACTAGGCCACCAGTTAGCCAGTTAGCAGTTAGCATTGACAGGCTGAAAACGATCTGGATGGGCTGCTGAGTATGAGTGCTAACTTTCTTCAGCCCACGCCAAGGCCTACTTCATCTACACCTCAGTTTTTAGGCAGTTCATAGTCTTCTTCCAGCCTCAGCCACCTTTATGTACAGCAATGGCTTCCAAACTCTTCTTGCTGGGCTCCCATGTGGTTCACAAGTAAGTTTTCCTGCTCTCAACTTTGCCCCCAACCTTTTTATAACAGCTGAATGACCACGAGTCAGTGCAAATGCAGTAGATTGCAGTTTTCACAAAAACAAACTACAAAAATGTCCTTTATACTCATAAAACCACCAGTTGTAAAGTAAAATTATTTAATTGTTTATTCAATGTGCCAAAAAAGTCAACATATCAATGTTCTTCTCAGTACTTCATTCATTTAATTCATTTCTATCATGCCCCACCTGTAATCACACAGCCCCTCCAAACCCACCTTTATTGAGAAAACAGATTTAAAGCAAATATTCTTTCCTTAAGAGCCTCATGAAGTTATTTAGGATGAGGGGCCATGTTTGACTCTCAGAAAGCGTGAGAGCGATAACACCATATGTAACACACCTTCTCCCCGTTTACACCCGAGACTATGTAACACTAATGAGTCACATGACACCAGAGAGGGAAAATTCCTTTTTAGACACAAGATGGACATTTTCACTTAGGGATGTACCTATTTTGTTCATTAGCAGTTTAAGCATTAATGGTGGTGTGTAATTTTGAAGAAAGACCAAATGTGTACCATTATACCAGCTGGCTACTTTACATTGTGATTACAAATCTTCAGTTTTGTTTCATGAAAGGATTCAAATCTTCAACAATTAAAAAATATTTAAATATTGACCCTAAAGGTTAATTAAACGTAAATTAAACACACACACACACACACACATATATTTATATATATATATATATATATATATATATATATATATATATATATATATATATGAGCAAATGGTCAGTTTGGTCATCACCAATGGGTTACAGATCAGATTTGTGAAAAAGGAGCAACAAGAAGCTGCATTTGCAGTTTGCCAACGTAACACCAACAGGGGACCACAGTTTTATTGGAAGAAGGTGACCTAATCACATGAGACAAAAGTCCTGTCCATGAAAGTTAGAAGTGTCATTCTGTGGGTATGTTTGTTTAGCTGGGACAGGGGGTGGCATAAACTTTCAGGGGCTGCTAAAGATTTGGGACTATGAAAGAGTTTCTCATAAAAAGCATTTTTATAGCTGTAAATTATCTTGATGTGGAGCTGTCTAATAAAGGCTTAACTAAGATGCCACTAAAAGAACAACAACAGAAAGTCCTGCAAATAAAAACCTGACCTGGTGACCTTTAAGGCTAGGTTCAGTGTCTGTTACGCCCTTCTCCCTTAAGATGGCACTTTGATGACTCACTCATCTATATCAAGCAAACAGCATCAAACAGGTACTTGTCTCACCCTCGGTGAAGGTCGATGCGGACGCAGGCCCGGCCCTCGGTGTCCCAGGCACAGTAGGGGTCCCTGGCCAGCAGACAGTCTTGCTGAGACTGATAGCGGCTACAGTTCGCCAAAGGCAGCTGAAGAACCCCAGAACGAGATCCGATGTACAAGTACTTCTACAAAGAAAAGAGTAAGAAGCAAAAAAAGATTAGGACAAAGAAGAGAGCCAGGACCCAGAGAACGGACAAGAACGATAAACACAGAGAGAAGAGGGGAGAGTGACAGAGTTATAGGTTAGAGGAGATAATGGGATAATCACTCTCGATTACAATAACATTCACCCTCTGACCCTCTTCCAATCCAATCTGGTTTGCGGCCTTTTCGCAAAAGCCGTTATAAAATATGTCTGGCCGCGGCTAAGCCCGCATTAATGAGATAAGCAGGCAGCTTTAGCGCAGAGAGCACCCTGACCAAAGCCCATCGATTTAAGGACGGGCCGCTTTCGAGAGACGTGTGCGTGCAGGCTCAGCTGCAGTGGTAGAGGTTCAGCTCCCCCACGGTGTCAAAGTCATATAATTGCTGTAATTATGACGGGGAGTTCCAGCTCCGTGAGGTGAGACTCGATCTGAGACAAAAACGCCCCTTAACGCAAGTCTGTTGATCTATAATCGCAAGGATCAGGCGAAAAGGGTATTAACAGATCGACACAGACTGAAGGAAAAGGCTGAAAAGGAATACAAATGAACTCATGAAACAGCAAGAGATCTCTAAAACTACACTGTGAAAAATGATGAGATGATGTACAGTAATCTGATAAATAGTGGCTATAACCTCTCAACGCAAAACAGCAAAAAAACAGTATCTACCCCAGAGAGCGAAAGAAAAGGGAATAAAAGCGACACCTGTCAGGGTTCATTCTGAGGCATTCAATGTCTCTCACCATGGGGGAAACTGGAAGCTCATACTTAAATAATTATATGACAGAACAGGAACAGCTCTTTTTTTAATCAAAGTCACTTCTGCCTCGGTTTGTTGCAGTGAATCCGCTCTTTTAACATCATCTTCACACACACGCCTCGACAGATATTACTTTGCTATTCTTTTGTTGTAAATCAGCCTTCATTTTGACTTTAATGGATGTGAGACATTTTTATTTTTTCATGTTTTAAAAAAGGAGGTTAATTTGACGTTTTGTCACAGTTTCCTGAACACACACATAAACCTCCTGACGTGTTCTTTCATTTGCCAAGGAGCTAAAGGCTAAAGAGTTTTAATACGCTTTAGCTGTTGATGTCAGGCTAGAGTTTCTGAAACAAATCCTTTGGCCTGTTTCGTACCTTGGAGTGGGAGATGGTCAGGCTGTCAACAGGCTGGTTTGTGTCGAACAGCTGGATCTCCTCAATCACATGGGCCTCAGAGCCCAGGATGACCACCCTCTGCAGCCATCCCTTAGCTGAAACACAACAGAGAAAATGGTAAAGAATTAACTCTATTTATTACCGTCATGCTCAGTGAAGCGTTAAGGCTGAAGTTAGTCACACCTAGATTATATTTTCTTTTTTCTTATATTTGCTTTTCTTAAGGCAGACAACATTTTACTAAGAACTTACTGCAGAGAACCTGGAGATCAAGCTTTGAATAAAGAAAAATGAATGGATGGATGAAGGGGTGGATAGAAGAGTGATGGATGGATGATGGATGAATGGATGGAGGAATGAACGATGGATGGATCATGAATGGACAGATGAATGGATGGATGAATGAATGGATGAATGGATGGATGGATGGATGGATGGATGGATGGATGATGGATGGATGGATGGATGGATGATGGATGGATGAATGGGTGGATGGATGAATGGATGGATGATGGATGGATGAATGAATGGATGGACGGATGAATGGATGGATGGATGATGGATGGATGAATGGATGGATGGATGATGGATGGATGGATGATGATGAATAGATGGAATGGATGGATGGATGGATGATGGATGGGTTGATGATGATGAATGGATGGAGGAATGGATGGATGGTAAGTATAAAAGGACAGAAAGAAAGAAGGGGGAGGAATAAAGGGGCGAAAGAAACAATATAGGAAAGAAAGGTGGAAACATGATGATAAATGAGATAAAAAGATAAAATGGTAGGAGGTGAGAAAAGAGTGGGTGTAACAATTTAGGGAAGCAGAAATAAAAGATACAAGAAAGATGGATTAGAAGAGAAATTAAGGCAGACGAATGGTTATAGGATAAAAGGATGAAAAGAAAAAAATAAATGGAGGAAAGGATAAAGAAACCAGGGATGGAGACAACATTTAGACAATAGAACCTAAAATAGAAATATTGCTCCATATGCCTTCCTTTCCCCCCTTCTCCAAACCAAACCCCATCCTTTCCCAGAATGAGGCTGGATTCCCTGCTGAATCAATCCATCTAATATTGGGACATTTCGACAGCACAGCGGTTCACTTGTACAATAATGACTAGGAACAATAAATTGACCCATGGATCCATGACTTTATACCAATCACATTAACTATTCATGATCATAGCGCAGACCAGAGGCTGCAGAACATTTCTATTTAAATATTAATGATGGCTGAATAAACCTGCACCTGCAACTCCAAAGGAGCTTATTTAAATATTAACCATGAAGTATGGTCATAGGCAAAAAAAAAAAAAAAATCTCCTCTGTTGTACTTTGTGGCCCTTCATGAAACTACACTGAGAGCCCTTGGGCTTTTGGTATTTTTTAGGCCTAAAATGATCTAAAAGTGCCTATTCTCATCACGTTTAATGCTTTCTTTTTAAGCACAAGGTGAATCTCTTTGCATTAATCATATTTGCTCCACAGTACTCCACTTGTAAAAGGAGAAGCACTGAAATGATTGAATCATGATAATTTCACCTGCTAGAATTTGTTAAAAGAAATTAGGTAACTGCAGAGAAACAGGATTTCAGTGATGAGGAGGGATGACTGACTTGGTGGACTTGGAGCCTGCGGTCGAGTACTGTCATCAAGTTTGCTGCAGAGTTTTAAAAACTCAGGAGCTAAAAATGTAAAGCCGTAACGTCCAGTTTCTCCCCTGAGCCCCTCAGCAGCAGACAATTTAAAGAAGATTTGAAAAGATTAGTGTTGCTGCTCCTTTTTGGGCCTCAGGGGGACAGTACTATCAGAGAAATGGGATGTATGGGGAGCTGAAGGCGGAAGAGGAGTCTCTGTGCTCCTTTCATATGGGGCGCTGTGAAACAAGTTTAGATCCCCAGTGATGCAGAGAGTCTCAGGCACAGCTGGTGGGGTGACCTTGATGTGCGTCGGTGTCTGAAGCGGTCTTTCGTGCAGGAATCTGCTGTCTTGTGTGGTCCTGGCGATTAACAGAGCGTCACACAAAATATGAGAACCTACGCCGCCAGCGGACAGGGAGGCTTAAGAGGAGAAAACACACATACATCCACGCAGAGGTGTAGAAATGCAGCAGGGGTATCATCGAACTGGCCCCTCCAAACACCAGGGACCTCTAGCAGCTAATCCCTCAATCCTGCAGGCAGTTTTATTTTTTCTTTTCACAGAAAACACTCAACATTCTCTCTCTGTTTCTCTCCTTCTCTCTTTTCACATCAGCTGTCGCCATGCTGCAGCTAACAGCTAATCAAGCCAGGAGCCCGATTGGCACTATGAATGTACGCCTGCCAGGGGCCTTTTTGGGTTTGTGCTGTGGATGACTGTGCCTGGCTCGGTGTGTGGAAGCGTGTGCACTTGAGTGTGTCTGTGTGAGCGTGGCGGCGGCGTGCATGTGTCCGTCCGGTTTGGCCCAGACTCCACTGTTGTCACACCGTCGCTGCCTGGGCAGTGATCTGAATGGTAAGCAGCGGAGCCTCTCCTCATTCATGAGGCGGCCTGCATTTAAATTCCCCGCTCCCAGAAATCCACTGCCGGGACCCGTGTTGTTCTGGATGAAGTCTCTGGGAGGACGAGCCGATTTCTGATCGGAGCCAAAACAAGACTCGAGCATATGGGCCCCCTAGTCCCGCTGACCGCAGATATTAATTACATTGCACATAGGTGAGACGTTTCCCTTGATGAGTGGAGGTGTTTCTCAGCATGCAAATGAAGGCCTTAATCGAAAGCCAGCTGAAGTCTGGCCAGATGGCATATTGTTTGTGAGCCACCGTACCTAATTCCAGTGGCTGTCCCTGACTGCTGCCACAGCCTGTAAGCTCTTACCGCTTTATCGAACGTAGTCTGGCGCTGCGACACACTCAGTCACGACCGGCGTAAAAGAAAACTATGTCTCCACACTGGAAATACGGTCTAAAAATAAGTAAAAAACCCTTAAATTAAGGGTATTACCCTTAATTTAAGTAGGCAAATGAGATAGTATGCCAATGAAATGAGTATTTATAATCTTAAAATAAGATAATTAAATAAAATACACTTGAAATGAGACAATGCAATTGTGTTTTCTTATTTTAATTGTAAATTCTCTTGTTTCATCGGCAAAATGTCTCTTTTACCTCCTCAATCTAAGAACAAATGAACTTATTTTAAGAAAAAATTACTTACCTAGATTGCGATTTTTTCCAGTGCGACTGTAAGTATGCATTATTTTATGTTTTTTTTTTTTTTTTTAAACCACATTATAAACACAACCACCATATAAAAGGAAATTCATACAACCAGGAAATCGAACATAACAAGCAGAAGATTCTAGTTTCTGCCTAAGTTTGTATCATCCTTACACAGCAGATAATATATGAGATTCAACATTATTGCATCCAACTAAGATGGAAAACAGGATGTTCTCCTGGGTGGTGCTGCACAACGAGGATCAAGACGATTTGCCCCCAGAGAGCACTTTTTATCAGCCTGCCTGCAGTGCAGATACAGCCCTCAAACACACGTCAAAATGTCTCAGAGTGTTAACTGCTGATTCTGAGCTGATAAATAAAAGTTGCTTTTCATGCTGCAGCATATAGTCTGATGGTTTGATATGAAGTTTTCGCTGTTTGATGAGTAAATTTATTCAGTCACATCATTACAGTCCCTTGGAAAAAGTATTCCTATGCTCCGAATGTTTTTACACACATAAAAAAAATACATTAAAATCTTTTCTGTTTTGATTTTATGTGAGGAAAAGAAGTGGACGATGTCTTGCAATAAAAAGGATTGTTTTAAAAGTAGAAACTGAAAAGTTTTGGATGCGAATGTAAACAGCCGCTTTGGGCTGCTTCTTTTTAAGTCAGTTTCATAACCTCTAAGGGAAGTTAGATGAAGTAAGTCTTACAATCTAAATTCTTACAGGACTGGTTATAAACGATAATAGCTGTGTGAGAGAAGGATCTCCTGTTGTGGTCTGTGTTGCAGAAGATCTAAAGATGCCTCTGAGCAAAGCTTGTTGTTGAAATACTGTATTGTAAAGAAAATTATCAGATAATAGGTTGCAGAACGACTTTTCACTAAAGCTCCAATGTGAGTCTGTGGAAATTTGTTTCTGACGCTCATACCTGTGCCGATAAAGAGCATGTTGTACGCCCGCTGGTCCAGGCCGCTGACTCGATCCACCGCCAGCTTGGTGAAGTTAACACCCTTGGTCAGCAGCAGGGGGCGACCCTGAGCTTTGTCCTCCATCAGTGGGTGTTTCTTGGCAAAGTTGAGGGTGGCGTCAGGAAGCTGCAGAGAGCTGTTGTAGCCGTTCGCCCTGTCTGAGTTAGTTATGCACTGCAGTGCAGGGAAAGGATGGAGAGACAGGAGAGGGAAATGGAGCAAGAGAAAGAATGAAGGAAAGGAGAGTTCTTAGTTGGTGCTGGCACAGGTTGGGCATGGTTAGTTGGCTTGGAGGTAACTGCCCTGCCTTCCCTCCTTTGCTCCATTACCTCCCTTCCTTTTTTTCCCCTTCCCTTCCTTCCTGGATCATTATGTCCTGGGCTTTTTGTGATCTGCCAGCTTCAACTGTTTTCCACCTCCACTTTTCTCTACATCCACTCTCCTTTTCTCTCCCTTCCTCCCTCATTACCTCCCCATTCCACTTCTGCCCTCACACTACATTTCTTCTTCCTGAAATTCTCTACTTTGGTAAAACACTGCATATGCCCTAGTGACAGAGTTGTCAATTATGTACCGATCCGGGCCGTGGGCTGGGGACCGTGCCCGTGTACCGGCCCCATCTCTGGGACGTCTCCCTGTACTCCTTGTAGGGGCCCTCGAACACCTTTTTCACATCGGCAATCTGGTACTGGCACACAGCCGACACGTCCACGTCACCCCTGAAACATGGCAGAGAGGAAGAGAGTCAGTGATGTGTGGCAGGAATAAGTGAGGGATGAATTATCTGTCTGCCAAATGCTTGACACCTCCTAAATGTGATGGAGTATGTGAAAATAAGGTGAAATACATCTGTCACTAGCATGTCAAGTTCATGGAATGCAAGTAAAAAACATTTGAAAGAGAGAGCTGCAGAAATGGTTGGATCAAGTGATTGACAGGTCAACTATTAGTTATGAACTCAGCAATTATGTCCTTAATGATAAAGTTGTGAGAATATAGCTAGTGTTGGAAAAGAAGCTAAGAGAAAATCCAACTTTAGAGCAAATGGCTCTGATCAGACAGCACCAATATGGAACCTTTTCCCAGACTTTACCAACATCATGGGTGCTTGAAAAAAACTGGATATAAAACTGAACACACCATCCCAATGGAGAGCTACGACCGTGGCAGCATCATGCTGTGGGAATTTGAGTATAAAGAGTTTAATAAAGGGTAAAAAGCATTGTTGGAGGCTGTAAAAAACTAGAAAATGAGGAAGAGGCCAACCTTCCAGAGCGTGAATGGCCCCAAACATCCAACCAGAGCTACGAAGGAATTGTTTTGATTCAAGCATATTAATCTGTGAGAATGGCCAAATCAAAGTCCAGAACTGAACATGAAAACTGATATTTTCCAGTCTTACTAAGGCTAAGCTATTTTAATAGAGTTATGAGACAAAAATTAGTTCTAAAGCATCGACTATGAGAACATTGATATTTTTGTCAATGATTTTAAAAACCATCCATCACTTTCTCTCTACTGAATGTGCATCTGTGTGTTACTCGGAAGCACATTTCTCATAAAATACACTTTTTAGAATATGAGAAAATTAAAAAAAACTAGATTTGCAAAGTTGGGACCTAAAACCTGATTACCTGATGATTTATTAATTTGATGCACTGCAAAAACAATCTAGAAAAAAGCAAAAATTTCTTAAATTAAGTGGATTTTGCCTTCATTTGAGCAGGTAAATACGATGATTTGCCAACAGAATTTGTATTTTTACTCTTAAAATAAGATAAATAGAAAATATGCACTTGAAATAAAACAATACAATTGTTTTTCTTATTTTAAATGTCAATTGTCTTGTATAATTGACAAAATGTCTCAGTTTTCCCTTCAGTTCAAGAAAAAATGCGCTTAATTTAAGAAAAAAGGACTTATTTAGATTTTAATTTTTTGCGGTGTGACTTTGGTAGTTTAATTGAATTTTTACCTAGAGTCATTGTACGCAGATTCTAAAGCATGCAAGACAGAATAACCTACCTAAAGCGGTGAATAGAACAAAACTCTAAAAAATATTAAACCTTTCAATTTAAATTACACATCTATATGTATTTTTATTATGTACATGTTTTCATTTTAAAATGCATTGTAGTGAAGGCATTTCTCTTTAGATTAATTGACTAATTGGAAAAAATGAAGCTATATTTTCATGTTTTGTGAGACAGAATCCTGATGTTTGAACGCATGTAAATGAACAGCACTCCATGCATGAAATCAATTGGCAGCTGCTGTGACTCAAGAGTAGCATTTCATTTAACGCTGAGGCTTGGGGTGTGCACACACGTGGGTTTTTTTTCACCAACAGCAAATTAAAATAAAATTGGCAGCCGATGTGTGAACCAGGAACATTAAAGTACACTTCGAGAAAATATCTGACATTTGATTTCCATCTTCATCCACAGCAACGAGTTCCTTCTCTTTCATTATTCAGTCTAAAGTGAGTCACTCAGACACTGACAAGCAGGCAATACAGCTAAAAAAAAAAGGTTGTTGTGCTTTTGCATTCAGGGAACAGTAAAGTCACAATTTTTGACCTCCTGCTGTTCTTTTTTCTGTTGGAAACACGTACATGGTGCTAGACTTAGCTAAAAAATGGATTGCACGCCGCTGTGCCTTCAGAAAGCTGCAAGCAGACAAGTAAAGGTTGTTTTCATAAACTCATATCATGTGACGCACCCAGCTGAGGGGCCGTGGTGAGCAGCTGATTTTTTAACGTCAAACCCCAGCGACAGCGTCTAATTCCTAATGAGCTAAACAAAGACTCTACAGTCTCCTTCTGACTTCAGCTCAGAAATTATTTCCATAATGTCCCATTATTTTAATGTTATCTCTATCAAAGTCGGGCGACTATAAGGCATCCCCCAGTGAGTCCTGAGAAGAAAAGGGATTAAGGCTTTCAGCAGCTGGAAGAACTCTGAATGAAGAAACAAAGGTTGAGGTTCAAAGCCGACTCGATTTGAGATATGATATCTCACTGAAGAGTACAAAAGGTTCACTTCAAAGGGTCCCGCCTGCAGAAAGGAAATATCTCAATCGTTCCTCCAATAGAAGCCCTGTCCTGGCTGATAAGCAATAATTGATGCATTGCTTTAATGTATATAAGTTGGTCAAACAAATTACAGCCTTTGCAGCTACGTCTCTAACACATGGAAATAATCAAGTCTACTAAATAGCCAGAAGTGGGCAGTAACTACATTTACTCAGTTACACTGGCTGGAGAAATATTTGGACTTAAATGCATTAAATGCATGCAAGTATTATATTTATAAACTATCCCTACTCTTAAAAGACTAAAATCTTTTTCTACTCCATGCGCTGTGTGACTTTGCTGCTCAACAAACAAGTCTGTTTTAAACAAAAAGCGCTCCACACAAATAGGAACAGTTACAGCTGATGTTAAAATGATCCTTTTTTGCTTACTTCATATTTGATGAACGTTCTGTGAAATTTCAGAGTCAAGCTCAAAAGCCCCTGTTACACCTTGAAGATTTATTCCAATAAAAAATAAAAAAAACAATCTACTGGACTTTGTTTCCAAGTTTGAAGATGTTTCGCTTCCTATCCAGGAAGCTTTCTTAATTCAAAATGTCAGGATTAGTGCTGAGACCAGCGTATGGCTGATGTACGAAAAATCTGGCAAAAATGCTGGCATACTTTGGATAAGCTATGGGTATGTTTTGTATAAGTTATGAGCACGCTGAAGTACGCTGGAACGCGCTGGAACAAGACGACAACAAGTACGTTGACGTACCAGAGTAAGCTCAATCGTGGGACATAAGTTACAGGTAACTTACCTGGTCGTTGACATACGTTAAGTGTAAGTTACTCATAAGTCATGGTGTCTAGCTTATCCAAAACCTATGAATAACCTGTGCATAACTTATCTCCAGACGCATATCAACGTATCTGACGTGTTCCAGATGATCGCTGAACGTGTTTCTAACTTACAGCTACTGTATAATGCTGTATTGGCAGCGTTTTGGTATAAACTGTGTTCACAGGAGGAAACCATCAGCTCTCCTCCAGATTTCATCCCCATCATGGGGTGAGCAAGAGGGTGAGTGTGATGGATCCTCCCTGCATTCACGGCCACGACCAACAAACTTTTTTTTGTTGTTTTTTTTCCTAGCAGACATGATGCTGAATCTGCTGCGACTGCAAATCTTCTTTTTTTCTGTTTCTTTTTACTTTTTATTCTTTTTTATTTTAGGAGGGAACCAAATAGCAGCTACGTTAATACCGCGATCAATTAAATCTTTTTGTGCAGGCAGGGCTCCTCTGGGCACATCGCTGCCCTGCCTCACGACATTAGCTTGTGACCCTTCATCAGAATCAGAATCAGAAATATTTTAATAATCCCAGAGGGAAATTACTTTTGTTACACGCTCCAGTTACAGTTTTATATGATATATACACACATCCAACTATACAATGTAATAAAGATAAAAAATAAGAATAAAAAGAAATAAAATATATACACATATAGCTCTTCAGTATATATATCTGTACGTATATCTATGCATATGTAAAAACTAAATCCAAATAAAGTGAAAATCCAAGTAAAGTGATAAATCCAAGTAAAGTGATACGTGGTGTGCAAAAATAGTGCATAAATGTCAATTACAGGGGGGGGGGGGGGGGTGGGGGCTGAATCACTTGAGGAAAGTGATTCATGGGCATTACGCTGCCGAGCGTTATAGTATGCATAAGTCAGGTTGTCGTTGGACATAAGTTCTGGACTTGTTATTAATATGCTTTGTTTTCGCCCCTAAATGGAAAAACTCCATAGAAAGTTCAGCGTATGCCAGCTTTTTAGAAGATTCTGGGATGTCAGGCATATGTTGGCTAAATCTGAAAGGTGTGACAGGGCCCTCAGGAGTAAATGCCATCAGGGGAGTTTGATGAGTTCTTTTTTAATGACATTATTCATTAGTTTTCATTCTTTTACTCCTTTAAAACATAACAAGTTGCACATGACACATTTTGGTTGATCTTTTTACATATTTTTAAATAGTAAATCAGATTTTATGATCAGTTACTAAGCACTTAAGTGGCCTAGTTGAGTGGCCTAGATTCAAAAATGCTTACTTACTTGAATAAAATCATGATTAAATAGTGTTACTCTTATTTGAGTACAATATCGGGTCCTCTACCCACCTTAGTAAATAGCATAAAGGAGGATGTTTTCATCTTATCCTTTAAATGTTTTAGAGATCCAATTTAGTGAGGGAATTACCAAGCATACAGAGGAATTTCTCTTCCTGGTGATGACAGGGCAGCTGGGCTATAATAGTAAAACTGGCAAATATATCTGTTAGTTGAAGGATTTATTCAACAGATTAGTTAAAAACTGTTTATTGCTAACATATTGATTTTATGACAACAAATATATATAAATGGAGTAAAAACCAGCCTTCCTCGGTGCAGATCTGTCCAAGCATTATTATAGTCAGTGAATGGATCAGTCCACGCTGCGATAAAATATGAAATTATACTAGAGATTTATCCATGTTGTTTTTAGGGGAGCTGACTTGTAAGGGTGGTCCTCACACTGTGGCCAATCTTTGCTGTAGATTCTTTCAAGGTCGAGTCAATGGTTCTGTTTAGAGTAGATGGATTGGCATTTAAAACTACATTACATCGGTGAGACGTTCAGTCTCTAATAATGGCACTAAAACATATCCAAGGGCGCTTGAATTGTGTGCTTTCCAAATGGCTCACATTTGTAACAGTAATAACTTAAATTAAAGCCCCCAATTACGCTGTAAATACCTAATCACACAGAGTACATCAGAGGAGAAATCTTATCAGAATGACTTGCAGCTCAGTGATTTCATTAAGAGTCCAGGCTCTGACATGTTGGCAAGTGGCAGCAGATCACTAATGTGGTAATTAAGTCCCACTGATTCCAAAAAAAAAAAAAAAAAAAAGCAGTGATACATCTCTGCAGCCTTTGTCTCTGACAGCTCTGTATTTTAAACTCACCACTGAGCGTGAAAGATGCCGTAGAAGGTCGTTCCCCTCCAGTCCTGCCCCGGCAGCGTGAACACGGCCCGCAGGTTGTTGAAGGAGACGTGGCGCTCTGGGAGCGAGCACTCCAGGCGAGCTTTTTGGAAGGTGGTCCACTTCTTCTGCAGGGTCCTGAAGCCACCCAGGTCGCCCTGAAGGAGGGGAGACAGAATCTGAGCGGCATCTTTGTCTGAACCCCCTAAGCTCATTATTCTGGGCCTAAACGACGGAAGAACTTTACTCCAGATTCTCTCAATACGTTTAACTGACTTATATCCAATTCCATGTCCCCATGGAAACTTTGCTAAATTTCTGTTTGTTTTTGACAATAAACTTCTGCATAATCTACTATGTGTATGTTCTTTACTATGTTTTTTACACCAAATAAAAAAATGTTTGATTTTTTTTCATGCTGTAAAAAAACTGATGTTTTGACTTTTCCCCTCTGAACTTTGACTAGGCCATTCTAAAACATCAGAAATGTTTAGATGCGTTTAAGGGTCTTTGATCAGGAAGTGGATCTGCTCTCATTGCAGCCTTTAATGGTATTTTACTGCATTTTCCTGAATTACACACATCCCAGTTCAACTCTTTATATAGTGCAACAGAGACACATTTGGGTTAAAAAGTAAAAACCTGCAGAAATCATAATAATGAGTGCATAATGTTTCTTCCTTGACCACAAATCTAAATTTTGTTCTTGTGTGACCATAATCTGCAGGCCTACCTAAATCGGTCCTCGAGCGCCGCTGTCCAGCAGGATTTAGAGATTTAATCTGCTCCAGCACATATGATTTCCATTAACAGCTGATTAACAAGCTTTTCTTGAACTGCAATCATCGGAATCAGCTGTGCTAAAGAAGGGTGACCTCTAAAGCCTGCAGGACAGCAGCCCTCGAGGACTGACTTTGGGTATGCCTGGTACATGATGCGTCCCTACATAGCAGCAAGCAAACTGCAAAAATCATTCATTGTTTATTCAAAAAATAGATTTCTTCTTTGATCTCTTCTACAAAGGCTAACTGTTTACATTGCATACTGCAGAACTAATGGCTTTCCTTTTAACAAATACACTCAATTGAGCTGTGGACCTCTCACTCTTTCAAAGACAGCATGAGCCTCTTGGCTGCTTCTGTAACTGTTCATCCTATCAGTTTGGTAGCATGGCCAAATCCTGGTATGATTGTATTTGTTTCTAGTTTGCACTCTCACCACATTGAAAAGATGGTTAGAGAAGAGCTCAGGGAGAAGCACAAAGCTGGAGATGTTTTATCATAACCTAACTCAGCTGTAAACTTCTCTACAGCTTTATTCCTGATGTGCTTCTGCTGCTTTCCTTGATCTTCATTATGCGGTTTGCTCACTAATGTCACAAACAAACCTCCGAGGCCTTTGCATAGCAGCTGGATTTATACAGAGATTAAACAACACACAGATGGACTTTATGTACTAATTAGGTATCTTCTGAAGGCATTCATCACCGTGCCTTATAACAACACTCTATGCACTAATTTGTGTTGGTCTCCCACATGTAATATACTGCATGTTGGATGGACTCACAAGTATCTTCAAATTAATGCAAATGAATGATTCTAATAAGTGAGCAAAGTCAATAAAGGACAAACAAATGGCCGACCTCTGCTTTTTTCAAATTAATCAACATTTACAAATCATAAATATGCTCCAACAGCCAAACAATGGGCAATTCCCTCTGTACAGATACTATATCGCTTGGTGCCAAACTCAAGAATGTAGGGTTACAAATGATTTTGCTGAGCTCAATTTTTCAACCTGGTTATGCTCTTTAAGCTCCTAGTCCTTTCGTCTAGTGCTTTGTTAGATTGCATTTCATTAGCCTCCCCTTCACCCCATCAAAGACAAATATCATCTTTATCCTTCCTCTTTATCTGCTCAGTCATAAATCTGTTCAATTCGCCCTCGCTGACTGAACTGTTGTAATTGCAGGTAAAGGCTTTTAAGTTCATTCTGACCCTCAGATATTGAAAATTTGATGTGAAGGACAAAAAGAAGAAAAGTAATAACGTTCATTTACACAGTAAATGTGTGGACAGGTGGTACTGTATTATATTCTTCTTTGTGCTCAAAAGTAGGCCTATTTAGTGAATCGCTCTTACTCCCATTATCCTTTGAGGCTGCAGATGATGTGAAACAGGACTTAAAATGTGAAAATGAACACGGTACGGATAATAAAACACTCAAAACACCACCACTGCTTCTGTAATGTGTGTAAAGCTCGAGACACGTCTTGTGTGAACATCTGTTTGTGGTAAAGTTCAAAGAGTTTCTCCAAACATGAGGAAGCAAGCGTTAAAGACACCTTTTCTAAACACGGTTAAGAACATTGCTCAGATATTTACACACATCTCAGCGAAGATAAGATCTGTGGCCAAACGGACCATGCTGCTTCAGAACTAATTAGTTTTCCTAATGAGGCCATTTATTTAGAAAATGAATAATTAATTAGCTGATATGTCGAAGTCGGTGCAACTGTTTCTACACAGAGAGAAGTAGGCTGGAAATAAGCTTAAATTCAGCTGCCTTGGGTCAAAATAAATCACCCGATAACTACTTAATAGTGATAATATTTCTCCCAACAATACATCTCCACTGTACTTATTTTTCACTGTTATCATTTTCTTCAGAAGACATAAGACTAAGTTTCTCTTTGTGTTATTTAAGCTAGATCAGCTTACAATGGATGAATATTTATTAAGGGGAGCAAATTCATAAATTGTTTAATACGAAACAAGAAAACTCTAAACTTCAACAAACAATTATGTGTGCAGATAAAATCACTTGGATTGACCTTCCCTAAATCCACAAACTGTACAAATCCAGGCCAGAATGAGAGTAACATCTGTGCTGAGCCCACACATCCTGGTCATAGGCTGTTTTAGACCTTAGCTATGCAGGTGTTAAACCAGCCTACACACACAGAGAGACTTTTTACCAAGGCTGTATCTCTGATGAAGAACCTCACAACTTTAGGCAGTTAGTTCCTCTAATGGAAAAAAAAGCATATCCACCCTGCCCTCCCTATTTTGCTCAATAAAAAAAAAAAAAAGACAAATTCCCCTTTTTGTAGACACAATGTTGGCCAATAAAGCTAATTTGATTGCAGCAAATGCAAATCTTCATGTCTTTATCATATTTGTATAAGATAATTTTCCCATTCTTTCTTTTTAAATCGATCAACCAGAGTTAAATTAAATTTTAAAAAAGTTAAAAAAAAAATTGAAGTCTTGCAATTAATTGAATATAGGTCAATGCTTTGATTAGGCTGTTCAAACACATGGATGTAATTTGATCAGTCTTTAGGATTGTTGTCATGGACAGATGCTCTGTCCTTCTCTCTGATTTATAGAAAGTTCTAGAATATTTATTTCCAGGTTTAATCTTGATATCTTCTCTGTGTAACAACTAAAGAAAATCATCCCCACAGCATAATGCTGCCACCACTGTATTTCACATTGTTCTCTAACAAAACTCCTAAGCTTTTAAATAACACATCTTTTTACTCAAACTAATTTACAAAAAAGCAACTTTATTAGCTAACCATATTGTAATAAGTTAGTTGCCTTGGATTCATAGAGGGGTATCACAACAAAAGGAGCTGATTCTGAATTTGTTTTGTAAAAATGTTTGATTATTAAAATCTCTCTGAGCAGCTCTGCGTCATTTCCTGTAGGCTGCATCCAAATAAAATATACAATAGTCTAAAAAAGTGTTTGCCTACTTCCTGATTTCTAGTTTTTGCATATTTGTCACAATTGCAGGTTTAAGAATATCTGACATATCTAGATATTAGTCAAAGAACAAAGTTAAACACAAAATGCATTTTTGAAATGTATAAAATTTAAAGGATAAAACATTAGCTACACCTGCTTGACCCTGTGTGATTGCGCCTCTGTTAAAACATAAGAGTGGTTTATCACAGCTGAGATAACTTTCTCTATCACACCCAAGCCTGATTATTGCCACACCTGTGCTTAATCAAGGTATACTAAAACAGGACTTTCATAACAAAGCAATGTAGGCCAAAAGGTTTAATCAGAAGCTCCACATCATGCTGAGATCTAAAGGGAAATATTTGAGTCAAAAGGCTTAGGAAGCCATTTCTAAAGCTTGAGACTCCAGTAAACCAGAGGTCACTCCCAGCATCCAATAAACTACAGGCCTCGTTTCCTTTAGTAAAGTCAGTGTTCAAGCCTCTATCATAGCCAGAGGAGGCCTGAATGACAGAGTTTCAAGATGAAAACTGCTGCTGAGCAAAATTATATTAACCTTGTCTCATTTTCCAGGATACATCTTGAGGATCCCTAAGAGCTTTGGCAAAATACTCTGTTGACTGACAGGAAAAGAGTTGAAGTTGTTTGTCCCAATACCTCTGCTGTTAAAGTAATGCCACATTTTAGAAGAACATCAGACTAACAGTGAAATATCGTGGCGGTTTGATGTTCTGGGGCTGTAATAAAAGATACCATGAATTCTGATGTATATCAACAAATCCTGAATGAATTTGTCTGTCTATCTGCCATGATCTAGGCACTGATGGTTTGTTTTTTTTCCTTTGCTTGTTGCTCCCCTGTCTAATTGGTTCTGCGGCTGATTAACGCAGATCATTGCCACCTGGTTCCCCTGGTTTATGTTGTGTTCTTGCTTTCCATCAGCACCAGGTTATTTGAGCATTTTGGTGAGACTAACTCTAGTTCTAGTTCTGTTTTCCTGATGGTGACCTGTTTCTGCCGTGTGGATCCCGAGTTTTGCCTTGCCCCTGTCTGCTATGTATGTCTGATCTGTTTTTGGATTTATTCCTGGATTCTACCGGCTTCTGAACCTGGATCTGTCTCTGGCTTTGGATTTCTCCTTTGGACTAAATTGCTGCTTGGCGTCGGCTGGCACCTGCTCCGCTCGCTCTCTAGGAACTCTGGGGGCGGCGCCCGCCGCAAGCTGTGGTCTAACCTTCCGTCTGGATTCAGCTCTTTTCTCCGTGAACGGACTGAACTTTGAATCAGGTCAGTAACTTTGCTCCAAGTTGGGATCAGCTCCACATCCAGTCACTGACCTATATCTCCTCTCTGCAGAGTTCCGCCCCACAGCTGACGAGCAGCCCAGCGCTTTGTTTGTTTATAAAAAAAAAGGTTTGAACTTTCCAACTGCCTGTTTCGCATCGAATTCTGGTTCCAACATTCGGAGTTCATTACACTATCTGTTTATGAGCTCTAAATTAATAAATCTCGGATATTGCAGCAGGAAAATAATTCATTCCACACCAGCAAATCCGCCTCTGAATGGCTGAAGCAAAACAAGATGAAGATTGTGGGGCGGTCTAGTCAAAGTCCTGACTTAAATCCTACTTAAATCTTCCAGCATGGTTTTAAAAAGGCTGTTTTTGCTCCAAAATCTTCCAATGTCGCTGAATTAAAACAATTCAAAGATCAGTGGACCCAAAATTCCTTCACAGTGCTATATAGGACTCGATAAAAGTTTGTGAATTCTTCATTATGGTTGTTGCAGCTAAGAGGTCCCAACCAGTTCTTAGGTTTAGGGTGAAATCAGTTTTTCAAACAGGGATCTGGGATTTTTTTATCCTTTGTACTAAATATTGCATTTATAAACTGTATATTGTGTTTACTTATGTTTTTTTTAACAAATATTTTTTTATTTTCTTGATGTGATGAAACATCTGAGACAAAATAAAAACAGGAATTTAGGAAGAAGGAAACTCTTAAACACCACTGATTCTGTTTATGAAGTGTAAATACTTTGGAAGGCACTCTACATTAGACTACTCCCACTGCGATTAGTGCTATTGAGAGAAAACATTTATTTAGAAGTAAAACCCTATCAGTTGCTTCTAAATATGGGCATGTTCAGCTGAAGCCACAGAACTGTTGGCAAATAGTGCCTCACATTATCAAGTTCTCAGAAACAGCTGCCAACACAGCTGGAGGAAAGCAGAAAACAGCTGATTCTCAGCCAAGTGTGCAGAAAACCATGATTTCATGTCAAATCTCTGCCTGTACTCTTATATTAACTCCTACGTTAACTGAGACTGATTCGTGTTTGAATCTGTGCTTTCAGTGTTAATAATCTGCGCCGTAGGCAGGATATTTAGCCAGTCTGTGCAGGATAGCGCTAATTAAACCTGGGATCAGATCTGATTAACGCCCACTGCGTTACCTTGCAGACGCGCGCCACTCTGGCCACGGTGAGCTCCGTGTCGCAGTCCAGCTCCACCGCTCGCTCGCTGAAGAAGAAGTAGATCTTGTCGTCGTCGCCGTCTTTGCCGCCGCTGCTCTCCCTGACCAGGGCTGAACCCACAAAGTCCGGCTCTGAGGGCACACACATACGCACACACACAAAAAGGGAGATCAGAGGGTGTAATTTTACTCACCAGACATATATCACAAGTGAACAAAGAGACAGACTCAGCCTGCAGGCCTGAATCACACCCCCCATGCAAGCTTGACACCTCCATCTCATCCTCTATTGCCCTTTCTCACCTTCTCATCTATTTTCTTTCATCATTCCCCTACTCCTCACCTCTTCACCAGTCATTTCTCACTCTCTGCTCACTATTAGTGATCCTTTTTGTGTCTTCCCCTACCCTAGTCTCTGCTGTCCTTTTCATGTCTCTGTATCTGGCCATTTGGGGTTTCAAATTCATATCTTTCATACTGTGAGTCCACTGGCTGCCCAGATGGACTGTTTTTTTTTTTTGAGGTAGAAGTGACAGAAGCTGAGTTTTCAGGCATAATGGGATGGTGCAGCTCACCACTGAAGTGCAGACCAACGCTTTTAAGCCCTCAGCTGCTTTAGTTGAGGGCAGCTTCATTGTAGGTCTGGTTTTAAATAAAAAACGTCTAAATCTGTATGAATAATATCCAGACACATCGAGATAAAGCTCTGCCTCATCTGTATGCGCCTCCTTTCTCCGTGTACCTTCCCCTCTCCCCTCCTCTCTCTCTCTCTCTGGCTTTTCATCACCATTCCTAATGTCTTGTTTTTCAATTTTCCATTTTTCCTGCTGTGACTTCATCCCCTTCTCTACCCTTCGTTTCTTTCCAAGGACCTCATTCTGTCCCCTGCCTCCTTGACCCAAATGATTACAATCCTTCGTTGTAGCAGAAGAACAAGTGTGAGTTTCTTCACTTTCTCTTCAGTTTCACACTAGTATTTTTAAACTTGAAGTTTGATAAAAAAGAAAAAACCTCATTAACATGCAGCGTTTCTGTAGCTCATTTTAACTCATTGAGTTAATCAATCACTTTTTTTTATAAATTATAAGTGATAGTTTTAATTTCAATGTTGATGCTACACATAGATCTCCTTTAAATCAAGGTTAATGTGGCTGAGATGCACAGCAATATGTTTTGCTTTGGTTTAAACCCGGACAAAACTGGACTTGTTGAAAATAAGTTAGACTCCAAGATAAAAAAAAAAAGCCTGTAACCTTTGCAAAAAGGATAAACAGAAACATGAAGACGGCTCATTTTGATTAAACATGTCCTCCTTATTTCAGTAGAGATTTAGGGTTAATATTATCAATAAACAAATATAAATACTATTTGATTTATTTTAGGGGCAAAAACTAAGATAGATTGATGAATATAGCAAGGTTTAAATGTTTGTCCTGCAGGACTGAAAGACAGATAATTTATTTTTAATAACAACCCATTTTTTCCCCCTTAGCTGTTATTTTTTCAATCTATTTGAAGTTTTGAATTTATGCTCTTTTAAAAATATATATCTTATAGTTTTATCTGTATATGTATGCATTCATTGCCTAAATGTTTTGCCACTGACACATCTGAATTCCCCAACTGAAGAACTCCCCAACTGAGGAACTATTCTATTCTATTCTATTCTATTCTATTCTATTCTATTCTATTCTATTCTATTCTATTTAATCTTAATTAAGTACATCTTTTAAATGACATGGTGCGGTAGTGGGGTGTGGGCTGTGCAGCCACCAAGAAACTGTCAGCTTTCTTTACAAATAAAGGCCAGTTGGCGCAACATAGAGAAGTTTCTTTTCATGCCCAATTCATTTGATTTATATGACACTAATTCACAGCACACACCACCTTGAGGCCCTTTCCAGGGTCATTTCAATCAAATCATCCAGTCAGGTTAAATCAACTGATTGTAAATTGACCTGCAGAATTTACTCCCCTGGATGAGCATGCAGGGACATGGACAGGTTAGCATGACTGATGTTTTGCCGTTCAAACAAACCACCAAAGATGCAGCTTCTGTGTAACTCTATATCCTGATGCTGTAGTGAACTGTTGAATTCAACACCCAGGACTATAATGCCTTTATAGGACACAGCCGCCACCAAAAGTCCAAAATATGAGTCGGTTAACAAACGTAAACTGGTGGACAAACATCAATGCAGACCAAGGAGTCGAAGCAACTAGAAGGTCTAGATATTATCTAAGTGCTGTTTTCTACATCTCTGCAGGTAGCAATAAATAAATCCAACAAGATGGCAGAAGAATATTTCAGAGGTACATTTGCTTTATATAACTTATCTGACTATGATACCACTAACAACACGCTGCCTTCTCATTATTTTTTACTTCTACTTAAACCAGTATTCCTCCATACTGAATGACAACAGCAGCTGCTTCACTCAGAAACTCACCTGACATTGGGAATGTTCTCCCTGTCAATGATTTTATTCATCAGGTAATGCATATGGCAAAGTGTGTGGGTAATGAGCCATTAGATAATAGTAGCGGTGGTTAACCTTTAATCTAAGGGTAAAAATCTACTAAGAAATTGTAAAATATCATTAGAGTTGTGCTTTAAGTGCCCCTTGGTGAACAGGGACTATTAGGAGTAAAATAATAACACCGTATTTTTTCACATCAGCATGAATTCAATCTTTTCATTCTACCAGACATTTTGAAAATATTTTTCACACTCACCGTTGAGCCAGGCAGGCAAGTATTCACTCTTCATGCTGTAATGCTGCTGGCCCAGGTTCCTAAGAATGACCGGTTCAGTACCCAGGAAGTTGTTGAGTGTTGCTGAGTACAGCTCCTTATCTGTAAAAAAGTAAAAGCTTTACATTAATTCAGAGCTTTTTTTTTTTTCTTTTTATCACCGGATATAATTATACAGCCTTGAAATGAAAGAGGTTCAGTGTTTCAGCTGGGGGGCACCAAACTGCTGCAAGATTGGTTATCTGTGGGGTCAGTAAAGCTGCCCGCAATGAAGTGAATGCACCATGAAAAGTCTAATTGCACCTCTGGAGTCTCTGTGCAGTCTGGGTACAAAACCAATGAGATTTTCTGTCAGAGCATTTCGACCCAATGCAGGTCTACCAATTTCAGTTGGTAATGAGTGCCATGTTGATATGATGATTACATTTCAGACAAAATATCTATTTTATAAGAATAAAATATCAGTCAACTACCATTTTTTATGCGAACATTGTACGCACAAGCCAAATGATTTTTTATTTTATGCTTTTTTTCATTTAAAGCTATTTTTGTGCAACATTTAAAAGTGCTGGTCAGGAAGCTATATGGGTATGTTTAGTTGTTTTATGTCAGACTTTTGTGAAGTTAAATTTAAATCTAAGTAAGTACGTATTTTTCTTAAATTAAATGCATTTTCTTTCTCCAATTCAGCAGGTAAGTGAGACACTTTGCCAATGGAAAAAAACAATTAATTGACTTTATTGATCTCACAGTGGAGAAATGTACTTGTTACATCAGCTCAAATAGTCAAAGGAGAAGAAGAAGGTGCCAAAGGAAGAAAAATGTGCAAGTGATATATGGAGTATGTACAGTGCGTCCACTTATTAAAGCCTTTTTAAACATTTTTATAGTAGGATTATTATACAGAGTTATTGCACAGGGTGTTCATTTATATGGATATTTATATATATAGTTATTGCACTGGGTGTCAAATACAATATGTATATTTTACATTTAAGATAACAAAAAAACACCTTCTGTCTTTTATTTTAAGTGCATAATATCTAATTATCTAATCTTAAGGCTAAGTACTCATTCCATTGGCCGATCAGCTTATCAATCCACTGAAATTAAGGGTAAATACACTTATTTTAATACTTTTTTTTTACTCATTTTTGCAGTGAAAAACATATTTCATTTTTAGCTTTAAACTTCTGTTTACTGTGCTGGTTTTATAGATGCAGCAGTTAAAGTAGAAATCAATGAGACATATTTGTGAAATCCAACAAAATGCCGAAAATTTTGTTCAGAATAGTTTCTTTCCTACATTGCCATGCAAAAAATAGTGAAGAGTAAAGTTCTGTGCTTATTCTAAGAGTTATAAATCTATGTGCATTTGGATTCCACCATGTATAATTCAATAACGGTTCTATGAAGCTCTCAGAGGTTTGAGACAGAGAATTAGTAAACAATCAGCATCATTAACACCAAGGAGCAGAGCAGAAAGGTCAGGGAGAAGCTGTGGAGAGAAGGAGATGAATGCACAGTAAGGCTAAGGTTCCAGCACAATGAGTATGCAGGCAACAAGAAATGACAGAGCAAAGTACTGAGGCTTAGGTGCTTCAGTCTTTCCAGCATTATGCTCTCTAAGTCTACTTTGAAGAGTGGAATCTCTTCTACCAGCATCTGTTGCAGTAGCAATGGTATAAATGTAATGAAAAACATCAGTTGTACTTGAAACATGGATATTGCTGTAGATTATTTTCACTTACCCACTATGAGGCCAGTGTGGCCTTTGGCAGGGTCATATGGACATTTGCCCTTTCCATCCTCAAGTGTTGCCGGGTTGAGGGAAAAGTCATCTGCTTTCTGAAACCAAACATATAAAAAAATAAACTCAGGTGGTTCATGGTCAGTTTGCATTATGACCCACATGATGGAGCTGCAGGCCTCGTCCGCCTATGCCCCCTCGCCGTGTTGTCCTACCGCATCAGTGTCACATACAGCAAACAAAGACATTCACATTACCCAGCTGACCCTTGCCCGCTACACGCCTCCTCTGCTGCATTCATTTTTTTCACACAGCGGCGTGGGCCCCTGGGTCGAATGTGACAGGTTGACACCTGTCAGCCACCGCTTGCCCTGACTCCATCCAGAAAAACACACGCTCACATAAATACTTACAATGTAATTGCATTTGGGCTGGAAGGCGTAGGTGCCGCAGGTGTAGAGGTGTGTGCGGTTGTAGCTCTGCAGGAACCGAATGTAGTTGAAGCACTCAGTCTGCGAAGGGAATAGAGAGAACAGGGATAACGGGAAAGGTGTTATCAAAGTTAAAGGTGCGTGATGAATCAATTTGTCGTTTTTACTTCTTAGTTACTTGAACTTCATTTACAAACAGGCTCCTTTTCTTTGTTCCCATTTTTTTTGTTATAAAACTGAAAAGCAGAACCTACACAAGTGTTTACTGTCCCTTTGACTGAATTACTTAACAAGCAACACTTTTACAAATTATCAAAATAATCGAAACTGAAGAAGAAAGTCACAGACAGTTGCAGAGAGTGATTAACGGAATAATTTATGCCGCGCTTTATGAGGGGTGCCCTTTAATGTCTGCACAGTGTGGAATGAAGAATGAAGCTCTTTGAATGGAAAGGAAAACAGATGCTCGAAATGATGCATACCAGCGGAATGAATAATTCAGCGTATCTTGTTGATTCTGTCTCTGGAACAGCCGGCCAGACAATTCAGTATGATACAGAAAAAACAGCAGATCTGCCTGCCCTGGTTGCTGTAAGCCAAAATGATAATTGGAGCAACAGCCAGATTGCTATTTTCTTAAACTAAATTTGCAGTGTTTGGGGCTTTTATTCATATCACTCCCTACTGTGGGACAAGAGAAACAATTCTTATGTTATCTTCTTATTATTTGACTTTTCATTTAAGGACATTCAGGTATAGAGGTAGAGTATAAGTTATAATTACAAAAAAAGTAACAAAAAAATGACTTCTTTCCAAGTTTAAAGACATTTCACTTCCCATCCAGGAAGCTTTTTCAGTTAAAAATGTCAGGAATAGCGTCAAGTTCCTGGTTTTTGATGGACTACTGTATAAAACCTCAAACTTAACGCTATTCCTGACATTTTGAATTGGAAACGTTTCCTGCAAAACATCTTCACACTGCCAAAAATTTAAATCTTAATAAGTCATTTTTTCTTAAAATAAGTGCATTTTTACTTGGATTGAGGGAGTAAGTGAAACACTTTGCCAATGGAACAAGACAATTTACATTAAAAATAAGAAAAAACAGCTGCATTGTCTTGTTTCAAGTGCATTTTTATCTTATTATCTTATTTTAAGTGTAAAAATACTCATACCATTGGCAAATCATCTTATTTATCTACTCAAATTATGGTTAAAATCACTTAATTTAAGAAATCTTCACATAGTTCTAGATTGTTTTTGCAGTGCAAATGTGGAAACAAAGTACGGTGCATTTTTTTTTTTTTTTGGAATGAATATGACCTGGATGAGTGAGAATCTTCACCAGCAGAAGTTATAATATTTACTTTTCTTGCACCATTTCTTTCCACTTCACATTTGTCTGCTTTTTTGTGCTGATCTACACTAAAGTTTGTTGATTTAACAAATCAAAATAAAGAGTACAAGGAGTATGAATAGTTTTGCAACACACTACCTGTCATGGTACGCCTTGGTGCGAACAAAAACTTCTTTTTTTAATGATTTTTACCAGTTTCTAAAATCTATAACTTAAACTGAACCCAAACTGGATATTTTTAGGGAATTGTATGAGCATGAACTTTTAACAGCTACACGAAACACTACCTGTGTTTCTCAAGCACCACCTAAACGTATTTTAAGCCATATATTTTTTACTCTGCACCATTTCCAACGCACTAATGCTTCTGATTCTCCTGCTGCTCTCCAATGCACCATTTCCCCTTCCTACTGAAAACCACATCAAAAGATGCACTATAGTGAGTTAGTATAAAATATTAAGCAGGATACCTTGCGCGTGGACAGCATGCAGCCTAAGCAAATGGAGGCTTAAATGCAGACCTGGCTCGGAAAATACCCTGTCTGTGTCTGCTAATGTCCTCAGCTGAGGGTGAGAATGGGCTCATATGAACAGTTTAATCCAAGGGTATTTTAGAAAGGTGGATCATCCTCAGGAGAATTACATGATTGATATTCAAAGGATGATTCTGAATAGATTATTTACAGCAGGTACCATATCTAATCCAGTAGAATACTCTCCTAGCTTGGTTGTTTGGTGTAATCCAGATTAATTGGGCCTGAAATCAGTTCCTAATAATAAGTCTGCAATGGGTCAAGACGAAAATTAACAGAAGGATCTAATCTTAACACACACTGAGGCTACCTCCATGTGCAGCTGAGGATGCTATCCACACAGAAAGGTTTGAGCGTTCGATGGAGCCCAGCGCAGCAGGAACAGCTGCAATGAGCTTTGTAATAATTATGCCTCATCAATGAGGGGCACTGTGATGCTGCCACAGAACTAAAAAAGGTAGAAGAGGGAAGGAGAGTAGGAGGCAAGGAAACGAGAAAAAAAAATGTTTGTGTGGAACCCCTCGTAAAGCAAAATGTGCAAATTCCACTGATTCTGAAGCACAAATTTAAAGTCCGCCATTGATGTTGTTTGTGTTTGCTAATGTTGTGATGTTTGTAAATGGAGAGGGGCGTCCTATGTTGGCCCACATGTGCAAACCTGCCAGTTTCGCAGCCCATTAAACTGCTTGGAGTCTCACATGAAGCCATTATAGGGCGCGGCTTCGTAGGCGGTTGGTCTGGATGCGACCCCTTCTCTGACCAGAGGTCTGTCTAATCTGGCTTTAAGTGGACAGGGCCTGAGCTGGGAACTATGAGGATATTTCCATTTTTGATAAATACATAAAATAGTAAAAATATGAGCTTTGTTGCCTTAAATGCCTGCTATATTTTCTAGTTTTTCTAAATCACTTTACATTGTTAAAACTGGCCCAGATTAAGCGTTAAAGAGGCTTTTTATACATCTCCAGTCCGCCACATCATGGCATCATGCAGGTTAGCAGAGGATTAGACATCCGTGGCTCCAGCCTTATCAAAATATTACACTTTGTTCTTAGCTGAAAGACACTGCACTTATTCCATTCCCAAATCTTTGCCACGTACAAAATGATGATTTATAACTGTATATAGCCGGACCGACGAACTGGGGAAAAATTATTTCTGAAACATCACAGACAGGTTGTCTTAAGGTGCAATAAACTCACACATCATCAATGATAATTATCCTAATAACGTTTATATCACAACGTTCCTCTGACCAGAAATTATTTAGATCTTCTGTTTTTAAGACTTGATTTTAATTGAAAAGACAGTTGAAATGGATTCAGGTCTTGGTGTGATGGACTGCAGTGCTTCCAACTCCTTTCTTACTGTCTATCCTCTTTGGAGCTCTGCTCCCATCTGCTTTGCTACTGAAGATAAAACACATGCTGAATTCAGGTGCTTTAGAAAAGTTGCTGAGCCTGACCCTGTCTGAATGATAGACTTCTCTGTGTGCTAATGGAATGACTGGACAGCTTCCAATTTGGAAACCCCTCGCAGTCTTAACAAAATGTAATTAAGTGAACTGAGAAATGTTGCACTTACGGTATAAGCTCTTATTGTCAAAACAAGTACCATGCTGCTCACCAATGGAGGATACCATCTAAAGGGGGGTAAAGGGGTGGGGGGTGTCCACTTTACCTGGTTGTTCTTCCCCTTGGCTACGCACTCCCTCTTCTTATCCAGTGGAGCCGGCCAGTCGATCTGAGGGAAAAAAAGAGACAAATGTGATGCTTGTCGGCCTTTCACCTGTAGGCAGTACATCTATATGTGAGTTATGTGGCAAATACCAAATGCTGAAAAATAAATCCCTTCCTTAGTCTTTAAGGAGATTGCATTTTAAAACACATTACAGTAAAAAAAAATGAGCGAGGTATCTTATTGCTCTGCCAAATCTCTCAACTATTGCCAACCAGTTGCTGTAACTATAGCAACTAAAAAGACTCATGTTAAAACTGGGCTTCAACAAATATATTTCAGATACGTATGTCCTATTTGTTTAATGTTTGATGCACAGATTAAAGAACTGCATTTATAGATTATTAATCATGTGATAGGAATTTAAAAAACAGTTTAACCTTTACAAAGAAATCTTCACATCTATGAACTTCTTCTTATTTATACCTGGAAAAATTAGATTTAAGCCAGCCAAATGAAATAGCCCGGTTTCCCTCTGGCCGCCCAGTCTAAGCAAATTTTGGCTCATTTTTCCCTTTAAGGTATAAGATGCTTCCAGAGGTTTCTTCCACGTACAGCTTGTTTTAAGTAACTGAATCCTCTGACTGATGCTTAGATTGTCTCTCATTTTCCTCAGCAACCAACGGATGGTGATTAATGCACGGCAGCATCAATGGGGGAATCCAGTGAGCTGATCAGGTCCTACTGCAGCAAAGCATCCAAAGCTTCCCACTCTATGGTTCATGTCATGCTCTGGCCTGCTAATGATTCGGTTTTAATCAGTCTAATGGATGCTATTCTGGAAGCCTTGGTCTCAGATCATTCAGCAGCTACAGTGCCTGTAGGAGCCATAAATGAAAAGATGCTTTGATGTTCGTTTGTCTGTGTTTATAGCTGTTATAATTTTGTTTTTATTTTTCGGTTTGATTGTTTGTTTTTAGGGGAATGGATCAATTATTAATTGGTCATATTACTTACATGTGGGAGTGTCACTGGTGGAGAGTGGGTGAGTGGGCGGCTGTTTTTTGTTGACCACAATACAAATCGCTGTAATCTACTTTTGACAAGTTATATTTTGGATACGTTGTTTATACCTTTGATGTGAATAAAGTTCACATCAGCACCATATTGATCTCAGCTGATTCCTTTTTTGAACAAGAGCGTCAGACAAGGAACTTCACAACCTCACCCTCTCAGCAGCTTTTTTTGTTACCTGAAGTTGCTGCAATGGTGTCTATAATCTTAGTGTGGTGTTGACTCTCACCTCAGCAGTCAGGGTCCTATTTCAGAGAGAAGGGCCATCCTACCATGAGTAGTAAGCAGATACTGAATAGTTCAACCGATATCCTCCCTACTAAGAGTTTTTGGTTTCAGAACAGGTGACATCAATCTGGTAACTCAACTCGCATCTAATCAACTTTGGATCAAATCAGAATACGTCAAATCTGTACAGACACTTAAGCCATGGCGGGAATTGCATCCATAATATGTGTGATCCTAATCGTGCTGGCAGTAAAGAAGGAGGCAGGAGGCGGGACCAGAACGCAGGATGCTGGCTAGCACCAAGATATCATTAATAACATGTATTTTGTGTGACATGTGCTAATGAACACATCTTCCTATGTTTTAAGTTTTATAATGAAAGCTTCATCCATGTTCACATGTTCATGTTTTTTTTTTGGAGTTCTTTCCTTGAAGGCTTTAGTCCCAATTTGAGCAAGAACATTCATGTGTGGCATCAATAAGGCTGAGGGCTGTCTGGATGCAGCACAGCAGTCTGGAGCTCCTTTCCTACCATGGATAGTGTTCTTACTGTTGACCCCGCAAAGGCTAAGGAATAGGAGCTAGGAACAGGAAAAAAGGAGGCACAATTTCAGGCATTCGGTTCAAGTCTCTGAGTTTAGCATGAGCACGAATATATGAGCCTTGATTAATTAGAGACACAGACAGGACTGAGTCCTCTAACCATATTGGGGGCTCATAGAACATGAGATGGGCGGATTCAAAGGGCGTGGTTAGATGGCACATCTTCCAACCGCTCAGGCCTGAGATTTGAGATTTTGATTTCACACTTACAATAATAACTGAACTTTATTGATCTCAAATTATAGAAATTTATCTCTGCATTTAACCCACCCCCTGGGGGAGCAGCAGGCTACCATCGTGGGGCAACTGGGGAGTAATCAGGGGTTGAGGGTCTTGATTAGAGACCCAGAGTATATTTGAATTGAAGACATATTTATTTGGTATAAGGTTTAGATATAAGATGTAGTTTTAGAAAAAAATATAACATTCATATACAAATATAGGATGTATAGGTAAATTTAAAAAATAAATACAGATATAGCATTTATAGATACAGCAGCTAAATATGAGAGTAAAAGCCATAAATTTAAAGAAAGAAAGTAAAATGCTTTTTATCTTCTAAGTAACATAATTTTTTTAAATTATGGATTGAAGATGCATCTAGGTGCAACACAACAGGCATTAATTAACAATATGATTCCCAAAATGTTTCTGTGTAACAGGTTATCTTCTTACTGCCAGTAGTTCATACTTAACACATATTAGCAACATGAAAATGCTGCCATGTGAATCCTATTTAGTGCTTTTAAGAAGATTTTTTCCTTTGGAAAAGATAAATCATCCAATCAAGCTCTAATCACCCTCTCCTGATAGAGATATATTCAGAGCATTTACCTCAGCAGCTTCTTTCAGAAAATGACACATTATTTTTGACACTTCCTTGGGCCGATCTCAGCTAAAAAGTAGAAAATGTTCAGGGTTACTCCAAGAATGGAGTCATTTTACTGATAATTTCATAATTTTATTCAGGTTAATGGCTTCCTAGCTTTCTGAGACGTAAAACCAAGAGTTGCAGGAACTTTTCCTGGATTGCCACCAACCCTGCTTTATTAAATGGGTGCAGGAGTTCAGGAGACTAAATGTTGTAGATCCTAAAACAGATAAACTCCTTCAAAATGTTTAGCAGCCATGTCATTTAATTAAATTTATACCATAAATGGCAATTATTAATTAATCTTAGATTAATTAAAAAATAAACATTTTATTAGACATTCGAAAAAAACCCACAGGTTGTTGCAGGGCGTCTTTTCTTCCTTTTTACATGACTGTATTTGCACACACGTCACCTTCTCCTTGTTCATCCAGATTCGCTCAGGTCAGTTCAAATCATCCCCAGGCTGAGTCGTAGGTGGTGGAGGGTAAAAACAGAAAAACTTCAGTGGAGCGACCCGGACTCATTCCACGGTTGTGTTGTTTCTGTCTCGGGCTCCATTAAACCCACAGCTCGCAGTGAGTTGGACACTGTGGAGCCTTACTGGAGGGATATATCTGATGATTAAACCCTACAGCTCTCTGAAAGGATCAAAGTCAGACTGTGCAGAGAATATCATGGTGTGCTAGTTAAACGAGTGCAGGGAGAAATGGTAAAATCCATTTTCCTCAAGGACACCTGGCTGAACTCTGCCTTAAGGACAAAGGTCAGAGGAATCTACTGTGTTTCCTTAGACGTTTCACACACCATTTGTTCTAATTATAATGGCTATTAAAGCCAAAGAGCTGCTGCAGACCTCCACTGGATGTAAACCAAGTGCAATCAAACAAAAGACTTTTACAAAGCAATGCACTGGTAGATAAACTGCGCCTTAAAATATAGAATGGCCATTAAGCGCTACAGCAGCTATGCCTTTTAATGGTCTTGAAACAAAAATAAAACATAAAGCAGACTGTTTGCCACAATGGCTGTTGAAGCAATCCACAATTTAAATCCTTATTTTTATAACCCCCATTTAAAAGTCATGAATGTAAGATAAGCTATCCATTCACCTGAAACGTTTCACATATTATGTAACGAACATAAACTTTAACGTAATTCATTGAGATTTTAAGTGGTAGTCTTTTTGTAAATGTCTTTACTATCTTTGCACATCTAGAGACTGAAGTTCAAACTGATTCCTATTGGAAAAACATCCAAGAGAGCCTCATTCCATCTGCTTTCACTGTCCCCTCTGTGCTAAACTTGACTTCTAATGTATTTTTTAATGCAATAATTTGTTGATTACCACTAATCCTCAAAAAAATATACAAAATAAATTATGTCCTGACAGCAGATAGTTTCACCAGGGTGGCAGATCTCTGCAGCCCTTACAGAGAAACCCCTCGGCCACCTCTGCCATTAACATCCTTTTAGTTTAGTTGCTAAGCCATATATTGGAAGGATTGCATTTTTACTTTGAAATCTTTAATCTTAAATTCTTCTTAGGAAGATTGCTCTCTGAGATATCTTGGGATGGCTTGGATTTATTGATTTATAGCCTGACCCTGCTTTAAAACTCTCTGCCGTTTTATCCTTGAACTGTCTGCTGGTCCTGATGATGCTGTTTGTTCACCAGTTTTCTCTAACAAGCCTCTGAGGCCTTTGCAAACCAGCTGGATTTATGGCAAGATTAAATTATACAAGGGCGAAAATCTATTTTCTCATTAGGTGACAACCAGCGGTCTGGAATATTGGGGAGCTGATTAAAATGCGTGTCAGTTTTTAAATGTGTTGGAAAAGAAAACAAAATGGTTTCATTTTTCTGCCTTTTCACAGTCATGCACCAATTAGCTTGAGTCTAGCAGAAAGAAAACACAAAGAAATATGTGGTTGTTAAGTGACAAAATGTGTTAAAGTATAGAGACTATAAGTGCTATTACAAGTCATTAAGGAACCGACTTTACCTCTTCCTCCCACGGCTTTTACATCTAATTAAATTATTTCTGAGAATTTCACTAAAAGCTGATGATGCTCTAATTATCGAGGGTAAAATCTAAGCGAATAATTAGTTGGGAAATATTACATCTAAGACTTTAGCTTTTAACTAATTTGATTAGGATTTTAATGAAGGACTAGTTCTAAGCATTTATTTTTACTGCTAATTTCTTTTCCATGATTCTTTTAATTAAAAAAAAAATCTCTATCATGCATTCACACCTACAGCTGAGCTAAATATAACTATAATATATCTAAATATAACGCCACAATGTAGTCGGAGTTCCAGACATCACACAGGAGGAGCTCACTGATGATACACCAAAACAAAGGCACGTAACATTAACAGAGAGGTAATAAGGGGCATCGATGCTCCATCCCTGTGTTTAGTTACACTTCTGTACAGCCACTGTTAAAGCAGGTAAAGTAAAAATGAAACGCAGTGCAAACATTTATTTTGGTAATGACCTCAGAGCTATTACACGGCCACTTGGCTTAAGCATTTCCAAAGGCCTCTGCAAATCTCCGCCTACGTCAGCACAAGCCGCGCAGGCAATGTTTAGGCCATTAGCATTTGAATGAAAACAGAAATCTGATTTGCAAGTTGCTCAGAATGAGAGTTTAACTTCCTGGAATAATAATTTAAAAAAAATGCAGCCTGTGAATTAAATCTAATTCAACTCTAACAGAAATTTCATTAGCTGCGCAGATTAAAAGCAGAGTAGTGATGCTGGAAAACCCCGGTGCATTTAGGTGCAAATTTATTACCTGAATTAAAGAAGCGGAGATTTAAAATAGTGTTCGACTCATGAGGACAATAACTGAATAATGGAGAAGAAAGATGCGCTGCGGACGCAAGTGAAAGCTGCTTGTTTACAAAATTCGGAGAAAAACATCCCCAGAGAATCCGGAGAGGGAAGATGGTGATGAAAGTAATGAAGACAGAGAACGAGGGAGACAGCAACCAAATAATAGTTCGATGAAAAGCAAGGGGAGCAGGAGAGAATGATGGGGGACACGGTGACATAAGGGGTGGGGGGAATATTTCCTCGTCTCAGCTCAGTCATTTTTCTGTCCCTCTCCGCGAGCACAACAGGTGGCCTTCTGATTACTGTAAGACTCACTTCCCTGACCAGAACAAGCCTGGGGCTTTGTTGTGTGCCACAGGGTGCTCAGGCTTTCTGTTATGTATGCATCTAATAAATGCTCATTACAGCTGCAAATCAGATAGAAATCCCCAAACCGCTGTGGGCTCCTCACTACACCCTCATTGTATCGCTGCATTTGTATTGATTGCAACACAGAGCAATTATTGAGGGAGCAAAGCAAAACCCCGACCACGTCCCTGGAGGCGGGGTTTACGTCTCTGCGTTCGCGCGGCAGGTCGAGTCGAGGGTATTAATGAAGAGAAGCAGGTTTTTTCCTCCAGTGTGTTGCAGAAGAAAAACAACAAAAACAAAAAACATAACCGAACAAGAAGAATGGAGAAAAAAGCTGAGTGAAGAAACATGAGGAGAGTCTGGGGACGTCCAGGTGGAGCTGAGGTCTTGTTTACTTTATTGTTTTTGTGCTGACAGAGGGAAATATGGGAGACAAAGCTTAAAATTGAAACCCTCCCAGCATTATGCCTAACAGAGGCGCATGCAAGCACATGTAAAGGAAAACAGCAGAACTGAAAATAATTCTTATTTGTTCAGCTAGTAGAAATGTTGGAAAATAATAAGTATGACATGAATATATCAAATTATTGCAATGTGAATCAGATAATCACATTCAGACAGTTAATTTATAGCTTTACTTTTACCACTGACTGCTTTGAAAAATAAAAAAATGAAATTTTCATTATTTTACAGATTCCCCATTTCTGTCTATTTCTTTTTTGTCTCCTGCCTGAGCTTTGGAAAAAAAAAGATGTTGGTTTGGAAAAAAAAGATGTTGGTTAAAGCTGTGATCACTTTTTGCACCGATGGACTGTTTGGCATTAAAAAAAATCACATTAAGTTTCAAACTGTTTCCATAAAGAGCTTTCATATTTGGATAAAACGAGTGAGGAACCACTGTCCTCTCTGTTGCTTCATAACTCAGTAAAAGGTTGCAGTTGAAGCATTCTTCAAAGCTTAAATAGATCACAGAAAGTGCAACTTGAACCAAACCAGTTGGTATTTTGATACCTATAATGGTTTAAGTTACTCACTCTAGATTCTGATTAGGTAGAATAGACAGAAACTGTATGTTCATAATAAACATGATGCACAGAGCCTCTGGCCCAACATCTGCTGGAGATAAAAACCAGCGCCAAGAAGTTAAGTAGTTCTTGACCTTTTCTTTTCAAGCTTCATACATATTCTTGGTATTAATTGAAAGGCATTTTAATTTTCAATCATATACACTTTTCATTTCACAAGTTCTGACTAGCATACAGACTTTTAGCTCAAAGTAGCTATCCTTTTAAACCAAGTATATGTAAAAATGAAAGGTATGAATCTGTTTGGATTAAGGAGGATCAATGTTCTAGTGGTTAGGGCATTGCCCTTGGCCCCTATTGACCTCTATAGAGGTCCTGGGTTCAAGCCCCGCGCCCACAGACTGCCACACAAATGCACAGGTGAATTCCTCCACTGTGAGATTAATAAAGTTCAGTCATTAAGGGAGTGGTTGGAGCATTGTGCTTCAGTTCTGAGTTCAAGTCCTACTCGTTCCCATCGACTGCCACTTTGGCTCCCTGAGCAAGACCCTTACCCCAAGACTGCTCCCCAGGCACCACACAATGGCAGCCCACTGCTCCAAAAGGGAATGGGTTAAATGCAGAGAGTTAATTTCATTGCTTTGCACTTGTGACAATGAGATGACAATAGGGTTGAATTTTAATTCTGGTTGATCTATATATTGTATCTTAGGCAAATGAAAAGTAAAATTGAAGATGCATAAAACCAAAACCATCTTAAAGACCTTTTGCTAAAAGTAGAGGAGTTCCTGGATTTTGTATTTCATCCCATTTGGAAATATTCCAGCTTTTTTAAGGAGCCTTTAAATAGATTAGACCGAAACACCATTAGACATCTAGTATAAAAAGTCCCCATTGTGGCTGATGTCCTTTAAAGAGGCTTCAAAAGAAGGTCACGCTGTGTGTTAATATGGAGCTAACAAAAGCCTGAAAAGAAAGGAGATGTTTTGTGTTTCACATTCTTATCAAAGAACTTTTAAATGTTGCGTTTTAATTCTATTAAAATTGATGTCCTAATTAAATCTAGGCTGAACGATTTATCTCGGCGTGTGAATTATGCTTTCCGTCGCGGCACTGTCCATCACTAATCCCAGTGACACATAATGTAGTCTTATCATTTAATTTGTTGCTGTGCTACAAAGACATTTCAGAACTGTTGTGTTTGCAGCCAGGTTATAATTATTCTTAACATAAAAACACTTCCGTTTGTGCATTGGGTTACCTGTGGTCGCAGCTGCTTGCTTATGTTGTTAGGGTCCAGTGCGAACAGCGCCTCTCGGGCCCCGACGTACAGAATCCTCTCATGATCAGACAGAGTCAGCATGCTGTAGTTGAACACTCCCTGAATGCTGAACCTGGCCATGCTGTCAAGCCCGTCTGGATAAAGACACAAAGATACATCGTTAGTTTACACCTCAGATGATGTATTACTGATAAATTACACAACCTTGTCTTAGGCTAACCAGTGGGAGTTAGCATGCGAGGAAAATAACTTCCCTTCTTGAATTCTGTTTATGTTTCAGCTTTTTAGTTAATTGCTCAATGCTATCCGTTTTGTATATCTCTTCTTCATATCCTTTTGGAAAACTAATGGTGTGCACTCCAGAGATTTCAAATAACTCTTCCAAACAGTTCCTGCTTGTGCCAGGTGCTGCACGCTGGCCAGCTAATCTGCTGAAGAACTCCAGCCAGATCAGTTATGCAACCTCTTCCAAACATTTGAGGCCATCAGCACTAAAATTGGATGGGTTATTTCTTTAATGCTGGCTTTATGCTGTTGGGACAGAAGTTGGGCAGCTTCTGTGGATATTTCTTCAATGACGTCTTGAACTACAATCATGTTTTAAGGATGTTCATAGTTTAAACGATGCTGGGAAATAATGCAATGTTAATGTCAACGGAATGAGCTTTGAACTTTGTTCATTAAAGTCAGTAGACATAAACTAAAATTAGCCTTTCATATGTTAGGTATTTAGCATAAGCTTCAACTAATAACTGGTTTTTAGATTGTAATACTATTTTGCATTTATCTTTGGTTGCTCTCTTGGCTCAAACGAATAAAAAAGATCAATGTGTTAAAACTGTCAGTAAGCTAAACACTTTGGCAAACCAACTTTGGTAATAAGAAGCAGGGTCCACCTGCTTCTAAATAAAACAGCAGATATTTCCTTTGGGGGGTTTTGAAATGGAAATCAAATGTTTTGTGGATGAAGCGTGGTCTCATGAGGGTGAGGATGATCTGTCCCAACTAAAACTGGGTGGTAATCCCATGGAGCTGAACATACAGAGACAAGTTTCATGTTTTTGCTCTGGGAGTCAGTGGTAAACCTTTCACAAGATAATCAACAGCTCAAAACACAGTGGATTAGTCTCAGAGTGAAGGACAAGGTTTACTGAGCCAATATGCAGAAGAGGAAAAAAACAACCAAACTTTGACTGAGCCAGCTGTCGACTGCTTGTTTTCTCAGCTTCCCATCTGTGAAAAAAAAACTTTGTTGAGCAATCTCCCCTACCGAAAGTCCCTTAAAGTCCCCTGCAAAAACATTTATAAACCTGAACTTCTGATATTCTGTCATTTTAGAAACACAAACTTTAATTTGTTTTTATAGGATAGACCAACATTGTGGATAATTGAGAAATGGAAAGAAATCAATTCAATTCAAAAATACTTTATTGATCCCAAAGGTAAATTAAAGGTGGTGGTAACTCATCGGGTTTGTTTTAAACTAATTGTTGTACATGTATTTGGTATTTGGTAGCGGTCTGTCTTGCAGCGGATCTGGAGAAGCCTTTGATGAAGACAAGCTGTTGTTTAACAGTCTGATGAAGAGGATGCTCGCTGTTGTCCATAATCTTCATCACGTTAAAAGAAACCTTCTTTGTGAAATCATCTCCAGAGGTTCAGAGGAGATCCTAGAACAGACGAGCCTTGTTTATGAGCTTGTTGAGTCATTTGCTCTGATGCTGTTACCCCAGCAGATGATGAAGGAAGTGATTACAATCAGCATCTTGCTACAAACACTAAAGGACCTACCCTTCCTTTGGAGGGACAGTTTACTCTTTACCGTCTTGTAGACGACTTCACAGTTGCATCTCCAGTCGCGTTACATACATAGAACCTCCAGATGCTTAGGTAACCTGCACACGCCTTAGCTACTCATTCTTTATCATTATATCGTAGGTTATGTAAATAGTCTTTTCCACTGTTGATGTTTTTTTCACTGTGCATTATTGAATCTTTATGTATTATCTACTCTTTTAGATTAGACTAGTTTGTTATTTTTCTTTGCTAATAATAATGAGCAACTTTTCCTTTTTTGCTACTCTGACACCTGAAATTCAGTATTGGAGGACAATAAAGGAATAAAGGAAAAAGTAAGGAATTTTGACCTTCCTAGACAAGACTTTGTAAAATCCTAATTTTCTTCAAATATACCAAAAGCTCGAGGTCTTCAACAGGGGGTCCGCGGCCCCTAGGGGGTCCACGGAGGTACTGCATAGGGGGTCACGAAAGTTTTGGTTGATTTTTTTTTCACTAATTGAAATGTCTTTAAATCCACATTAACATGAATTCAACACACTGTAGTAAAGAGATAAATGGAGTCAGAGGATTCCTTCAGTCAACAATGCACACATTCAGTGACACACAGAAGCTCTTTCAATCTGGGATTCACAACACCTGTCCCATCAACCAGGAATCAGAATCAGAAATACTTTATATTTATTTACTTTATATTTATTTACTTTATACTTTGTTTGGGGGTCCTTGGCCTAGAAAATGTTGAAGACCCCTAGTCTAGTGAATATCTTCATCAGATTTATACATCTATATATATTATTTTTCATTATTGATTTTTGAAATGTGAATAACTACACATTTAGCTAGCTCATCTAGATTCATAATCTTCCGCCCTGGCCATATCACTAAATGCTGTAGTGCTAAAGGCTGAGTGATTGTTTCCATGCCCGTGCTACAGACAAGCATTCCCGAAGCATGATGCTGTCCCCACCATGTTTAATCATGAGTGCATTAGTTAAAAGTATAATTCATTTTCCAACACACCTATTTGTTTAGTTACAGGTTTTCTGATAATTGATTTTATAAAAAATAAACAGAAATACAGACTTGGAACACTTTTATATACCTGCAAATAATGATCTCTTTCTAAAAGTCTTGTTGGAGCCTTGGAAATGATTGCATAAAACCTCAATTCAACTTTAATTCTTCAATAAAAGCTGTTATTTGCAGAGCTTTAGGATTTTTGGTAAATGACTCTTTCAAGATGGAGCCCTGCATGGAAAGTTTCCAAGGTTTCTTGTTTACTTAAAAAAAACAAAAAAACTTGGAGAACAAGCCTGTCTTCAGGGCAAGTCTGATAAGTTCCAGATCTGTATTTCAGAAGAGCGATAAGATGATCGTGAGTTTAGAAAGGCCTTGGAAATAAACAAGATACAAAGATATACGCTGAGAGCAGCTCTTGTTTTAATGAAGAGTGCAGTCGACTGTAGCATTTCAGCTGTCAGTAATGGGTCTAAAAGCAAAGCTCTTCACAACCTAGGGCTTTTTAGAGTCGATACATATTGATGAATATAGAAGATATCACCATTAAAAGAGTGTCCAATCTGCAGAATCACTGTTTTTTTTTCAACTTTAAAACTAACTTTCAACAGCTTCAGTAAGTCAGAGCTTTAAGCCGTTGTAAGCCCAAACTTGTTATTGAGCTTCATGCCAAAAAAGTGCACATACAATCACTTGTTCAATAAAGGCTCCATTAACACCGGTGATTTCCATATTAAGAAAATCGACTACACTTGTTCTGGAAAACAACATAAATTGTGCTTCGGCTCAATGAAATGCAGCTTTCAGGGGAGCGATTGTGAAAACTAACAGCAGAGTTCACAAACCCCCCCCAAACACAAACACAAACACACTGACACACACACATACTTGTTCTGCTAGACATAGTGAGGACCATGTGTTGATTCCCATTGATTTTCAGTCATTTTCAACCCTTTTTATGCCCTAACCCTAAAACTAACCCTAATCCTAACCATTACCAATGCATACCTCACCTTAACCCTAATCCTAACCCAATTGACACCTTAGCAAAAAAAATAATCAGCAAAATGTCCTTTGCAACAACTGGTCCTCACTCTTTGTATTTCTATCCACCTTAAGACTTTACAATGACTTACATTCATTTTGTTAATCAGATTTATGCCTAACCTGAGATCTACCCAAACCCTGACTACTATATTACCAGTTTATCCTAACGTAACCTAAATTTAATTCACACAATACCTCCAAACTGACTCTCTAAGGTTAAAAATGAGGGTCTGCCATATTAGGACCAGCCTTCAATCCCTATGAGGCCTGTTGGACCTCAGAAAGTTAGTTAATATACCAAAAATGGTGCTAAATAGGTAACATAAACAAACACACACACATCTTTTAATGGAAAATGAGCATTTAAGAACAACAGCACGAAGATATGTTGGACCTAGAGGCATTTTATCAAAGAAAATGAGATCTGAGTAAAAACGTGGACAGAATGCAGAGGATAACGCTGCTTATTAATGCTCACTAATAACGGTTATAAATCCCCACCAGTGATTAGATCGTTCATTGTTTCCCTTCACATCCTCATGCAGGTTGCTTTCACTAATTTCAGCCCACTCCTTCAGTAAAATAAATTCCACGTTAGCTTCCCTGTAAAACCCTGTAATTACTTTGGCAAAAAGAAAATCAATTTATTAAATTTTCTTCTACTTAGAGACGATCAGAAAATGTTCTTTCTGTAATCCCTTCTACATGACTTAAAAAACAAAAAACAAAAATAAGGCTGAGGTTTTTATGTCAAAATATTAAACCGATGCTGCTTAGTTTTTCAGTATCCATCCAACGCACACCCAAACCCACAAAGCGATCTGACGCCCTTATTAGCATACAGACAAACTAGGGTTGCGTGGCAGAAGGGAAAGCAAGACAGACGGCAGGAAAAGGAAAAAAGGGGACAGCGTTTAGTTTCTCTTCTCCTCTCTTGGGTTACTTGTAGTGCAATGTCACCTTGTTTTCTTCCTCGCTTCCAATTCCACGTTTTCTGGATAAAAAGAAAACATGCCAAACAACAAGGACAATAGCGACGTCAAACATACAAATATTGTTATCCCTTAGACTGAATGGAGATATTTTTGCATATTTTCAATGCTCTTATTTTGCGACCAAAAATAGCAGCTAAAATCCAAGCAGGGAGCGGCAGGAACTGGTATGATTTATTGTGTGACTAAGTGCTCATGTGATGCGGTGGCCTAGTTGGGGCGAAATACACTTATACACATAGAGAAAGCTGTTTTAGATGAACAAACAGGGTTGCATGT